GGAGTAGGTGAGAGAAGAGAGGGAGAAGAGTTAGGGGGTGGCTGGTCTCACTGGATGCCCATAGCTGGTGGTTGGGCTAGCACATGCCTTGACTCCCTGTAGTGCGAGTAGTTTGCATTTTCAGCACTAACTAAGCAAACAAAACTTGTCCTGAAAATGGGATCTGAACTATAAATCCCATCCATGACCATCACCCTTGTAGCTCTTTACCACTCAATTGACTATCTTCCTAAATATGGATTAACTTAGGGAAAGGATATGTGCCTTTCTCTCCAAAACAGCCAGTTCTGCACAAATGGTGTGACCAGCATAGTGTGCCCAGGGCACGTTCAGGCTGAGCAAGGTGATAGTTTCACCATTAGACAGTCCTGACAGGTACGTGCCTGAACTGATGACTGAGCCATCACTGTCTGCAAATCACTGTCTGCTCCTGAAGAGCAGGAAGTGACATTCAAATGACAAAAGGAAGTAAAAAAGAAGAAAATGCGTTGCAGTGATATTACAACGCTCAGACTATGCCTGGAAGAGCTGTGAGAGATTTAGATGCCCTTTATAACAAGGAAATCTGGAAACTATTTCTGATTAAAGCCAGACCTTGCAGCTATTTACAGAACTCCTTTTGCTATTTTATATGAACTAGTGTGGGCAACTTATCAGGAGAAAAAAAAAAAAAAAAAAAACAAACAAACCAAAGAAGACCACAAAACCTAAGCCCTACATATCTTTTAATAGTTTTACAGTTAAGAGATCCCTTTGGTAACAGCCCATGTGAATCTCTGTTCTCTCTCTGCTATCTCCTTCTGTGCTGTTAATTATGAAATTTCCTTCCTCTTTCAGAAAATAGGCTTGATACAATTGTATTTGGAAGGTTTGTCAGGAGGGGAAGAAGTCCAGTGTCCTCTTTGCCAGTGGATGCAAAGAAACTTCAGTCACTCCTCACAACAGAGACTGACAGATAGGTCAGGTCATGAATCTGTATTGAGCATTAAGACTTTTTTCAGATATGGAATTTTTCACACGTCCTTGTTACTCATCTTTAAAATCATGTTCTGGACCTCGCAAATCCACAACCATCAGGGGAAGAAAATGTTTGGAATACATTTTCCTGCTAACTTTCTTGTTTTAGCATGTTTCTCTAAGGTATTCAAGTCAAATTTGGTATTTAAATTTGGTAGGGAATTCTATAAAAAGAAAAGGATTTAAAATCTTGGGAAAAAAAAAAATCACAGAATCATAGAATACTTTCAGTTGGAAAGAACTCATAAGGGTCATCAAGGACAATTCCCTGTTCATCACAGGACACCCTAACACTAAATTTTATTACTAAAATCATTGTCCAAATGCTCCTCGACATGTTTGCCCATGGGAAAGTGGTATACACTTTTTTTTTATAAGAAAGGAAACAATGATAAAGCAAAGGAAGAAAACAAAGACTTATCATAGAGATAATATAAAGAACAGACATTTTACCAGTTATTTTTAAAACTATATACTGGTATCCAGGAAGTATGACTGGACTAATTATTATTTCTTCCACTATCCGTTATTAAACAATAGTCCAAAAATGTATGTTGATTATTTCCAATAATTGCTAAGCTCAGTTAACAAGAAGCAGTTAAAGGGTAGTACAAAAGGTTGATGAATATCTGCAAAACAGCACTCATGGAGATATGTTTGTCTGTTGTGCCTCAGCCGAAATATTGAGGTTCAGGTGCTTTTGTCACCAGGCAGGCCTATGCAACCTCTGCAGCTGTGATGTGCACCCTTGGGTGCAGTGTCCTAGATGGGGGACTCCTCCACCCCTTAAATGTGGCCTCTGTTGTCAATGGTATTTTTCATGATCTTTTGATTGAATTACGTAATCCACAACCTTCCAAAAATTAAGAAAATTATATTTATTGCTAAATATTATTTAAGCATGTGTAACATTCTTAGATGTTATGCAACTTGAACACTTTCCAGGAGGCTACATGAGTGATTTAGCATTGGTACATTAAATTTTTCAAAAGTTCTGTCTGAATACAAGCCCATAAGGCAAAACTGATTTAATTTCAGTACCCATCCTTTCCTTGCTGTTTTTCCCCAAGTTAACATAATTGACACTTGTACCACAAAAGGCTCATGGGTTGAGATGAGAACAGGGAGAGATCACTCACCAATTACTGTCACCGGCAAAATAGGTTATGCTTGGAGAAACTTGTTTAGTCTATTACCAATCAAATCAGAGTAGGATGGTGAAAAATAAAAATATTTCTGCTTTGTGGTTGTTTTCATTAGGTAGGTACAGAAGTCAAGCAAATTAATGCAATAGCCACAGTACTTTCAGTTTCACGGTTTATTTCCCTAAATTAGTTCTTATTTTGATCTGTGTGGATTTCGTTTGTCTGACCTTGTAAAAACAACTTTAAACTGTTGCCTTTATCAGCCTGAATGAAAAGGATTATGAAGGATTATGGCAAAGAGTACCTGTCCCCCTTGTTAGAACCTGACCAAAAAAACGGCAGGCTCAGCAATATATTCAATGCAATTTGGCAAAGCAAGACCAATTAATGCCATAACCCATGAGAACAAGGAGTTTGCAATGAACCCCTGTGGCTGGGGGGGGGCTGCTCTCAGCCACTGCAGCTGCTGAATGGGGCACACTTACCCTGCCCATAGCTGCTTTTTCATCAGAGCAGATATTTGCTTGGAAGGGATCCCAAAGTAAATACGGGATTTTCTCCCTATGTCACTGTGGCAGTGTGTGAACACCTAGCATCAGTAGCTGGCAAATGATCATCTGCAAAGCCACCATGGCATGTTAGCTCCCACTCCGATCCATTCAGAGCCATCAGACAGGTGGGTACAAGGTGCTGTTGAGATTGTTCTTTTCCCCTTACAGATAGTAGAAGTTTCATGAGCTTGGTAGGATTCCAGAGAATCCTTAACAGCTCAACTCTTATGATATCAGTACTCTCTATAAGAGACTAGTGTTGGGGATATTGTCATAGCTTGAATTTGAAGTATGAGAGAATTGTCTAAACCCATGCTGGGAAGTACATCTTTGTTGTTAGTCCAATTTCTGACCTTTCAGATCAGGACTGGCCAACCTGCACTCCATGGCTGGATGCAGCTTGTGCTGAGATTCACCTGTGGGCAGTGGCTAGGGGCAGGGGGCTGACATTGCCAGATTTCACAAGTGCAAAGGAACAAGAAGGCAGGACCACTTCCTGCCTGGTGCTCCCTGAGGTATGTGTCAGGTGCAGGGATATTGCAAGGTTGGCTGTTCTAACTCTGCTCTTCCTTGGAGTCTGTCCTCAAGGATTTCAGCAGCCTTGAGCAGGTACCCCTTTGCAGGAATCAGCACAACGCCCTATAATTCACAGTACTGGCTGGAGGAGGAGAGGTGCAAGCACACCAGGTGCGTTTGGGGTATCAAGGATGTAGTGCAATTGTTCAGATTTTTAGCCCTAAGACCCATCTGAAACCAGGCTGAAGGGAAAACAATGTTTGCTTTACTACCAGGCTGCCGCTGGCTCTGGTGTGGCTCGAGGTGCAGAGGAGGCTGAAGAAAATTGATCCTTTCCTTTTTATTTCTTTGTTATTATGAAATGTCCAGCTGAGAAGAAAATGGAATTCCTCTTGGCCCTATGTTGTACAGGCTCCAGGATAAAAAAAGGCTGTCAAAATTCCCAACAATATAAATGACAATGTATCTTTTATAGAAATAGGTCACATGCTGTAAGAAAATATTGTCAGCATGAGGCAGATCACCTAAAGCCAAGGAAAACTTGCTCTTTCTAGGCAAGATCTTTAGCAGCACATTACAAAATGTATGCTTTTAGAAAAAAATATATTTTCCAAAAGAAGCAGTTTATTTTATCCTTGTTGTTAGTATATTTTGTCATCATCTGAAAAAGAAAATTCAGTTAACTTTGCCCAAACATCCTTACCTAGCATTTCCTTGTCATTTCTTATTTCACTGCCAATTTCTTCCTTTTATTTTAATCCTGTATATTTTCTCAGGGAATTAATCCCATTTCTTGCATTGTCTTTCTGCTGTGCAGACAAGCAGGATCAAATCTTGTATTTGGGATATGCAGTCACCTTGGATAAAAGCAGGAGAGGATGACAAATTTTCTTGATATCATACTTTTGCTACAGGTGTTAGTCAATATGCTATTATGCTTCAAAGGACACTTTTATATCACATGCTTTTTTCCATTGACAGGTTTTTCTAAATAAAATATTTTGTTTTAAAAATTTGCTGTGATAAAATCAGGCCTTTAAGGTCCAGGTACAGGGATAGTCAGGCCTTTACACAGGTACAGGGATAGTCTTATAGTGGTCAGGAGTAGAGCATTGAGAGTGTTTTCCTCAAGTTTCATTCTTTAAGTTTGGAGACTAAAGTGCTGAGTGCTGGCCTTGGGTAGGATCTTGATCTGAAAGCAATATGTGGCAGTTCCTGAAATTGTGACTGACTTTTTGGTATGGCTCTCAAACAAGAATTACCTACTTCATAAGAAAAAAAAGCATTGATTTTCCAATAAGCCATTTTTCATGTAGCTTTTTAATTGCATTTATGTAGAAATGTAGGATAATGGTAAACTCCTGTAGAAGGGCAGAATTTTTTCTAATATCCTGCTGATTGAATTTCACTTAAATATTCTAAAAATCAGTTTTGGCTTATCTCACAGATGAAAATATAGGGCTTCTGTGTTTTCCTGGTAGATTTTTCTGTATTCTGCATAGGTAAGATGTAAGATTTAAAAGCTAAAGCTGAATTTCTCTCCTTAGTATTTAGTTGTTGTTTTGATCCCGCAAGATCCACACGTCTCCTCAGCAGAGACAGTGGGAATGTAATGAGATATAAACTTGGGACCACCTGCTTTCCCAAGGGAGCATGGTTTTCCCTCAGTGAGATGTCACTCTTTTTTGAGGGTAAAATTTGTGTCACGTGGTCTTGTTTTTTAGAAACGTGACATGTGACAGAATGTTTCCTTATTTAGCGCTCAGAGTTTTTACCCAACCATCCAGCCTGCAAAACCAAGGAGGACCGGCCGCTGTCCTTTCCTCAGCAGGAGTTTACCACCAGCAACTTCTCCCTCTCAAAACTCTCCAGGTTTTGCTGAAGGGAAGGAAAGGAAAGGGCATTTACAATTATGTTCTCTGGGCTCTTGCTTGTTTTCTCACTTGTTCGCTGCTCTTTGCAGCTGGCAGGTAAGTGCCTCCTGCTTGTTTCCTGTGAAGCTTGTCTTGAAAGTGCTTCAACTCCTCTGGCTTTTCTGGGTGATTGTGTTTCTGTGGTACTGCCAATATGTACATTATTAGTTTGGGGATGGGGAACCTCTTAATGGCAGGCAAGAGGCCAGGGAACGACCTCATAGAAAAAAAGAAATGGTTAGAGAAGGAACCAGAGACTCAATTCTTAATGGTTTTATTAATATATAGTGGCACTATCATTTCAATAATCTCAGAAGATCAGACCTAAGAAAATAATGCTACATGTTTAAATGCCTTTAAAAATTTATTTAATTATTTACTATTGAATTTTGATCTGTTGTGTCTGGATAATGGTTTGCAAAATCAGGCAGAGAAAATCTTCAGGAGCAGAAATATTGGTAGGACATTAAGATATTCACAGACAATGGCTATAAGGAGGGTTTTATTCACTGTTTTGAAGAGACTCATTGAAATCACTGGCACTGATAAAGTGGATGGAAGAATTTTTTAAAAATAACATCGGATTAAGTTTAGGAAATCTCTTATGGAAGTGCTATCCCTTTAGCTTCACTTCTCTTGTAAGTATTCTGCAGATCTGAATGTTTAAGGTTAAATTCTTGTGCCTTTCTAACACCTGAGGATTGGCATAGATTTTCTCAGAGTATATGGTATTGTTTTAATCACCAGAATAATTATTTTCAGTGTACTGTACATTATCAATTACATTGATTTCCATTTTTTTTTGCAAGCTTTTAAAGGAAATGTCTTTAACCTCTTATATACATATTTTTTAAATTTGACACCTGCTGACCAAGACAAGTATCAGGGATGAAAGCTGGTTATGAATCCCACAAGCTTTGGCAGGAACTACAACCGATGGGTCACAAAGTACAAGACAAGAAAGCAGAGCAAATTCATAGGGAGGGTTCACAACTGCTGCTGATAAACTCATTTCAGGACTGAAATTAGCTCCCTGCTTCTACCTTACTTTGAAGCCAACACTTTAGGCATGATCAGACAAATTGCTTGGAGAGCTGGGGACTCAATTTCTGGTGCAGGTGTACCTTCTAACTTCCACCAGCCTTTACACACTGGCAAGTGCCAGATGCTACTACTCCCCAGTCTTTGCTACTTTCTCAGACTGCAGTTGGCTTCCCAAAGTCATTCCTAGTTTTATAGTCAATGGCTCATAGCAGGGGATGGCAAATCTTGTAGTCAGCAAGGCTGAGGAGCCCAGAGTGACCCCTGAGAAGCCCAGACTGGTTCACTCACATTTATATGATGAAAAGGAAAGGATTGACAAAAAGGTGGGTTTGGGGGAGGGGAGACAAATGGCTCAGCAAAGATGGCTGTGTACCCACTGGGAGACCTGTAAGATCTGGAAGGGTGAGAAAAGTTCGTAGAGGTCAAAGGTCTAAAAGGCCGTGCCTCTGAGGATCAGCTGGATGGAGCAAGGTAATGGTCATAGCAGTGTGCCTGAGGGAACTCACTGACGTCAAACCATCCAACAAGCTGTGCTCAGCTGCTGCTGCTGCCCACCACTGATCCACAGCATGGTGATGTATAATCATGACATACATTTTCTATTGTCTGCTTTCTTTTGAATCAGTAGAATTGATGTTGCTCTGGACCCTATTTTAAAATAGAATGTTTTTATCTGACATGAATGCAATTACTTCATGTGAATGGGAAGTAGAATCATATCACTCATCCACTGTGCATATATTCTATAACAACTATTTGCTATGTGTTGTTTTGTTTTACAGACATTAAAACATTTTTACTGTATAATAAAGTCAACACACTCTGTCTTGAAGCATCTATTGCACAGTCAGTTAGAACTGCCACTTGCAATCAAGACAATGAATCACAAAAATTCAGGTGGATCACAGATCATCAGCTTATGAGTGTGAAACTGAAACTATGCCTGGGGGTGCCACTGAAGAAGGATCAGGCCATGGTCACTCTGTATCCCTGTAATCAAAAAAGTGAGCTCCAGTGGTGGGAATGCAGAAATGAAAGCCTCCTTGCAATCCAAGGAGAAGATTTATTTATCAGTCCTGGCAAGGAAGAGCATGATAATGTTTTGTTAAAGAAAGAGCTGAGTGCAAAGAATAAATGGAATATATATGGGGCCATGGATGTTTTATGTTCCCAAGGATATGAAGGTACAGAAAATTGATTCTTTCATCCTTTGAATTAATTTCTTTGTGAGTGTTATAATGTGTAGGATCTTTGGCTCTGGCTATTCTGACTCCTTCAGTGACCACCAGTTTTAGAAAATCCATGCACTGAGTTACTTAACCTTGAATTTAGTGTTATATTTATGTCCAAGCATGTATTACACATACACTTTTTTATTCGATGCATTATAGTACATTAGTGTTTCAAGTACTGTGAGTATTACATGTACTCTATATTCTATAAATACATATTATTAGTGAATATGTATATACATACTTACTCTCATACTATGTATAGTAGTCTATACTATGTATAAGTATTCTCTAAAGTCACTATTCCCCACCATACTGTGTCACTACATTATTAACAGAGCACATAAACACAGATAAGTTTCTTATACAGTCACAGGGATATGAAATTTACATCCCCATGAATGAAGCACAATATGAGTGAGCTGAGAAAGGTCTGAAGGTACTGATTTAAGCAGAGGAAGCATGGCTTTTTTGACTCAGAAGATGAAGATGTTAATGGAATAATTACAGTCAATTAATTACTAGTGCAATTACGTTTTTTGATTAGCTGAAGTCTGATTGTTCTGAATGGCTTTCCCACATCCAGAATGAATGCTCTAAAAGCCACCTCACAAGATATTTGAACACTGAACTCTTAGCTTTGCATGTGGGAAGCTGCTTCACTGTACAAGAAAGATACTTAAAATGGTCACTGAAATAAAAACTGAGAGAGATAGTCTAATATATATTTACTTTTTTTTTCCCCCAGGAATCAAGACTTATAAATATTAGTTCCTGCTCTTGCACATGTTATATAAATCTTAACATTTTTTGAAATAGAAGTAACTCAGGGTAGAGTTCTGGATCCTTATTAAGATTGTAAAAGCATCTTGGTCGGAAAATTAATTATAGACCCCAGCTATGATATATTACTTTACATCAGAATAGCACTACTCTAAAACATATGTCAGCAGCTGAAGTCTGAAAAAATACTGAAGCAATTTTTCTAATGATTATGGGATAGGAACCATGGAAAGCACTTTGAGATACAATTCTGCCCCAGACCTTACTTTTTCTCTAGTTTACATTCATTAATTTTCGTATTCATGTTATAATTTTGTGTTCTCAGAGACCTTCACGCTGCTAGGAAACTCTTTTGGGGCGCCGTGTGTTTTCCCTTTCATGTACCAGCAGCAGTGGTGGGTGGGGTGCACGGCCGCGGGCCGCGCCGACGGCTGGCTCTGGTGTGCGACCACTGCCGACTACGACACGGACCAGCGATACGGGTTTTGCCCATTCGGAGGTGAGGTACCTGTTCCCTCCCAGCTCCCCTCAGCGTGCCTTTGGCAAGCCAGCATGAGCAGGAAATGATTGTCTTTATAATAACAACTCATAACTTACAAGAATGTATTTTAGTATATGATGCATTGCCACAGGCTGTGGCTCACTACGCAAAGAAATGACATGTTGTACAAAGATGTGAAGAGAGTGATTGAAGAGTAAAACAGCATTCAGTTCCCACTTGCTGTGGGCGTGTTGCTGAACAGCACAATAATTCTGAGCTCCTTACTGCTTCCCAGTGAGGAAGTCTGCTGTCACTGTTGTACAACCCCTCTCTGAGGACTCCTGTTGTGATGGATGTGGGCACAACAAAGAGCACTGTAGGAAGATTGATGTTGAAGTTAATGTTTCAATTTGCATGATTCTCATGTGAACATATTTTTTTGTTAGAGTGGAATGTGTCCTTTTATCCATGCTTTTAAACCTTGATCATATTGTCCAGGAAGCAGCCTTTCCACCCCATTGACATCTTCCTGGCATTTCTCTGCAATTTCAATCACTTTCTTTTATTTCTGCAGTCACTTCCCCCTCTATCTCCTGTTACGCCCTGGAGAGCTTTGCATTCATGATGTTGAAATCTCCGCCTGACACATCTCATCTTTTCTCTATATTTTTCCCCATGTGTCTTATTCAGCATTGTCTTTTTTTATTAAAATGCCCATTCACTCTACTTGATTTAAAGTGGACTTTCAGTGTGGCACACATCCCTAGTCAACTGTGCTTTCCAGATTCCTGCAAAGATACCTCACACACTGAGCCCTGAAGGTGTGACATAGGGTCATTGAATAATTTTCAGAGTTTTTGAAAGGTAGTCCCAGATTTCAGTTATCTTTTTAGAATTCATCTTCATACTGACTTTTTGGAATGATAAAATACCTGATAAAATTTTGTGTTGTGCTTGGTTGAGCATGTCGATATCTTCAACAAATCAAAGATGCAAAGGTAATCAGAGGAGGAGCATGGTGCTGCTCAGCACGATTGGTGTGTGACAGGCACATCCAGAGGCTCTTTGAATGAGGATGGGAGTTATCTATGAATTTTTTTGATAATAAATTCAGTTCTATAGCTAGTTCTTACAGATCTCAGTGGGAGCTGCTGTCCAGAGAGAGAAGAAGTTGCTGTACAAATACTTCAAAATTTTCTCCTGGGACTTCTGCCACACACTCCATGTGATGTGTTTTCATGTGCAATCACTTTCCTTGTGGTTATTGCTGACTTGTCTCTCTTCATGGAGCAGGAGACAGTATAGGCCAGCTTTACCTGTCAGCATGCTGGCCTTAATTTTGTCCTTCCCCATTTGCTCGTAACATTTTCAGTGGTCTTGGAAGAGCAGCCCAGGTGAAATTGAAGGAGACAAATGAGAACCTGCTACACAGAATGAGAACCTGGAACTCAGTTTTCTGTTGCAAGTTGCTATGACCTCTGCTGTTATTATTATTTCCACAGATAAAGACAGCACATGGACTACAGATCTGTCAACAAATGTTCAGTACCAAATAAATTCTGACTCGGCTCTCACATGGCACCAAGCCAGGAAGAGCTGTCAGCAGCAAAATGCAGAATTACTGAGTATCATAGACATTCATGAACAAACATACCTTAAAGGTAAGGCAGTAAAGCAAACCCTGGGTTACATTCAGGATCTGTTCAGGCCATCATAATAGCCAAAGATTATTTAGTATGATTTTGGCCATTGCCTTTGGACCTAAATAAGTGTGGGCAAGAAAACAAAATATTTTAGAATTTGCAAGTTCATATCAAAACTGCTGCCAATTTACATAGAATTCCAGCCTCCTGCAAGTGTAACAGTTTGACTCCATATTTACAAATCTTGTTTTATATATATATATATATATATATATATATATATGTATATATATATTTAAATGGAGGAAAAATCCTGACAAGTAGAAAAATTGAAAAGAAAAAGAAAAAAAGACCAATCTTTATGCCAAAAGAAGGACTTGTTTTGTTTCAAATGCCATTTTTACAGCTGTTTTTTTCATTCACTTGGCAAATTGAAAAATATCAGTTATTTTCAGATATCAAATTGCAGCCTTATGTATCCACACATAGATGAAGAAATTATATGGAAGAAATATTTATTGTAGGTTTTAAGGATTAATTTAACATCTAACAATTTTTTTCTTGTTTATATATATATTCTACCAATAATTCTACTTAAATGTACAGAATTTAGCCTGTTCTGCAGAAACAATTTTGTTTTGGATATACTCTGTGGATACAATCTGTGTTCATTTTGCATTAGTTGTCAGGATAAAACAGGGAGTTTCTGTTTGTTTTCTTTCTTACAGTATTCAAACTTTGGCATATTTCAATGTATTAGGTACCATAGTATCTACAGATATTTGCAATTAGCTATTTAGGAGTACAAATCTTCCTAGATACATTATTAGTGACCATTGCTAATACAAAAGAGATTTATAAAATAATTCCTCTTATTTTTGTAACTTAGAATTAACAGAAGGTACAGATTCTGCACTGTGGATTGGACTCAACAGACTGGACTTGAGTAGTGGGTGGGAGTGGATTGGAGGCAGCCCTTTCCAGTACTTAAACTGGGCTCCAGGTAGATGCGACTTTGTTTGATTTTTTATTTCCAAAGAGAAAATATACATACCTCAAATATTGCTGTAAACTTTATTATCACATAGTTATGCCATAAGTATTTTACCTTTTCTTGCTTTAGCTTTAGAAAAATGTTTTTTTCTATAGCAATATAACACAGAAGCTTTCAACATATTACAAAAATATTTTAGCTGTAAAAACAACACTTGTCTATTTCAAAAATATTCATACTTCCACTTCTTGACTAACAACTAAAGTATGAGTTTAAAGTTTAAAGTAAAGTGTGTAAGGTAAGTGGATACATGTTTGTATCCACTTACCTTACACACATTTCCACTACTGGAAACATATCTTAGCTCTTGCCAAAGCTGGGAAAGACATGACCTCCATCACTTCATCCAGGAGTGGTCTCTCATGTGCATTTTAGACCTTAAAACTCTGTTTTTAATTTTTTTTCTCTGTACTTTTCCCAAAGGAAGTCCATCTCCAGAATCTGGAAAGCTCTGTGTGGTTTTGAATCCTGAAACAAAAGCTAAATGGCAAAATTGGGAATGTGATCAGAAACTTGGTTATATTTGTAAGAAAAGGAACTTTACTTTGGTTCCCTCAGGTATGTTGATACATATTGATATTTAAAGTAGAAGCTGTTATCTGAATTGCTTAACATATTGACAAAGATGAACAGAAGAATTTTATTAGAAATAGAACTATTTCTTGTTTTTCTGGTTTGCTTTCAACAATGATTGCAGCCTTTCTAGTCTGAGCTCCAGTTCCACAACACACAGACTGAAACAGATAAAAGCAAAGAATTTCCAATAGTCCTGTCTGTCTTTCCGGAGCCAGGTCTTCCCTTTATGTACACAGACTGCTGACTATCAAAAGGGAGAACAGCCCAAAAATTATTTTTCAGAAGTGGGACATTAGTAAATATAAGCCCAAGAAAGAAAGATGCATAACTTAGTGTGGTTCTAAGTCATTCTCCATGACTTGTGGTCAACCAGCATCCAGAGAAGAACGTTCAGAGTTCACTGCAGAAATGGTGGAAGATTGAGACAGTGGAAGATCAACATATTGAAGTGATAAAAGATATTTTAAGTGTATGAAGATTTCCCTGTTGGTGTGACCCTGTGTATTCATCTAGCTATAAATTCGTCTTGATGGCTTGTACTCTATCAATATACTTAATCCTTTAAAAATTCATAAACCTATGTTAGCTGCAGATGTCTGATTTATCCTATCTGACAAATAAGTACTAGGTGATACAGAAGCTAATAAAATTAATGAATTACAAAACTAATACACTTGATTAATACATTACAAAATTAATATATTTATTGCAGACAGTTGACTAAACTTATATATTAAAAAGCTTTCCTTCTCCAAGCTAAAAATTGCCTGGTTTAGAGAATCACATTTATGTCTCCTGCATTTTGTGTTCATCATTTCCTTATGATGAGAATTTCAAAAGAAAATTCTTAGTTTAGAACTTTTGCACAGATGAAGTGGAAATATTTTCAGTGTCATGTCCCTTGCATGGCAATTGGAGCTGTAAAGCCTTGGGATGTGTTCCTAGGTGACCCTGGGCCTGTTACCTGCCCAGATGGATGGGTGTCCTTTGTGGATCACTGCTACAAGATCTTCAGGGACAGCAAAGGATGGGAAGAAGCTTTGACATCTTGTCAGAAGGAAGGGAGTCACCTGGCCAGCATCCAAAGCCTTGAGGAGCACAGCTTTATGGTGTCTCAGCTTGGGTACAGTGAGTATTTCCAGGGGGGTCTCTTGCCTTTGCCTGTATGGAAAACAAGAGGTTGATAGTTCCTGCTGAATTCCGGATATTGTCAAGACTCTAATTTTATTTATTGCCAAATTAATCGATGTAGGTCTGGGGGGCTGGGTTTATGGGCTTTCTGTTTTTTTTTCATTTTGTTGAAAGACGCTTAATACATTAATGGTCCAAGTTACATAAAAGCAGTATTCTAAAATTTGACCTGTGCAATGGAATTGAAAAGTAACTATTCAGACTTCTATCCTACCATCATGGCCTATCAGTATTAGGCTGTCAATTCACACCCACTGTTCCGAGGAGGGAAAGCAAAATTTTTTCACCCAGTGCAAGAATTTCCTTACAACCTAATTTTCCAAACCGTACAGTCTTTATTTTTTAATAACTATATGAAAATATTAATTTATACAATTATAGAATATGCTGCATAAATTTGTGAAAGGAACTGTATGTCCAAAGTCTAATGGTTAGTGCTGTGAAAAGGTGGAGTGCCAAAAGAGGTCTTTTCTCTGTTTCCATTTTTAGAGCCAACAGACAAGCTGTGGATTGGGCTGAATGACCGTAGGGTTCAAATGTATTTTGAGTGGAGTGATGGTACCCCAGTGACATACACAAAATGGCACCTGGGAGAGCCATCCACTACAAACAACAGGCCAGAAGACTGCGTCCTGATCAAGGGCCAGGTGACGTTACTCAATACATATTGTACTTCCATAGTAAAAATAACTACTTAATAAAAGAATAACATGCTCTGTTATTTCAGCAAATGGCTAAGGCCAGACAAAAGAGATGTAGGGATTGACTTGAATGAGGTTGAGAATGAGATTGAATGTAACCTTAAAAAAAAAAACAAAGCATTACTGCATCACTGGTGAAATTTTCTCTTTAAGTACATCTGAAAGTCACAAATGAAATTATCGGGGCTACAAAACTGGTCTCTGAAAGTATTTTGAGTACATTCTCTCCTTTTCTTCTGGTGGCAATGATGGTATATGGGGATCTCTGATTCTTGCTGGCTTCTCTTTGCCTGCTTATTTGCCATCCCATAGCACAACTGCCTGTGCAGGACCTAGCACAACAGGTCAGGGAGCAGCTCCATGTACCCTTTTCCCTTCTTATCACTGCTAGCTGAGGCTATACTGCTATAGCACAGTCTACTATTTCACAGAATATGAGCAGATTTGGTTTTGATATCATGTAGGAAAATTGGAAAGGGAAAAATACTCCATTTCAAAATAAAGGAGAAAGAAAAAATAATTTTCATTATAAAGCAAAACATTATTTATCTCCTTTAGATTATTCAAATTTATATGATTTTTATTTCAAACTTTTTTCCTGACACAGAATGGCTATTGGGCAGACCATGTCTGTGAGAAGAAGGCTGGCTACATTTGTAAAAGAAAAGCTACATCACAAACAGCTGGAGAAAAAGAAAGTAGCCTTGCAGGTTGCAAAAAAGTAAGTATATGAGAATGGAACATAATTTTCTCAGATGAAATAGGTACATTGAGAATCTATTAGAATTATTTGAATTATTTACATGGAAGAGTTTTTAGTTTTATTTATTATGAAGTTTCTCCCTCTCCCTAAGTTACTCTACATTAAAAAAAAAAAATTTACAGGAACCACTTAGGAATCTGTAATTTCACTGCAGAAAGTTTCTAGTTCATAATATTCATGATCATTGTGCTTCATTAATTTTTAAATGTCATATTTCACTTAATGCATGATACCACAAGTATTTCAAATTTGTATGAAAATCCTAAAATCATGTTATAGGGCTGGAGAAGATATGGGACATACTGCTATTTTATTGGACACCTTCCAGCAACATTTTCAGAAGCAAACACCACTTGTGAAGGAGAAAAAGGTTACTTAGCCACAGTTGAAAGTAGGTATGATAATGATTTTTGATTCACTTTTAAATATCTAAAGATTGTATCTTATTAAATATTCCTAGAAAAGCTAACACAACACCAAGCAGCAAAATGGTTAAGTAACATATGAGGTCTCGAGTTGAATAACAAAAGTCTTGCTTTCTTTTGTTGTTCATATGGAATCTTAATCCTATATAGGGTCTTCTCCCCCAGCCTGAAGCAAGGAATAAGAGAAAAAAATTCATCATCACAGTAGACTAGCAGGATTTGGGTAAATGACTTTGTTTTCACTTGCATCTTGATGATGTCTTTTACAGGTATGAGCAAGCCTATCTGACTAGCCTTGTTGGGCTGAGGCCTGAGAAATATTTCTGGCTTGGCCTCTCTGATGTGCAGGATCCAGGCACTTTCAGCTGGGCCAATGGTGAAGCTGTCTCCTTCACACACTGGGATGCAGGAATGCCTGGTAGGTGTTGTGGTGAGGGGTGGTGGGTGCCCTCTGACATTTAGATTTGTGTTGGTATAATGTCCTCTGAATTTTATGTTTTAAACTTTAGTTATATTTTATAAGTACTTGCACTTTTAAAATCCCATATTCTAATTTCAAAGGGAAAATTTTTAACTGCACTTTCATATTAGGACATCTGATATATTTACCTATAAGATTAACTTTTGGCCCATCTTCACAGGGAGATAAAAGGAGTTACAAATGGGTCCTAAGACTATTCCACACATGTCCCTCTAGTGAAAAAGTGAGCCTGGGAGAAGAGTTTGAAATGGAGCAACTGTAATATGGATTTTAAGTTAGAATTCCAAACTCAAAGTGTGAAAAATCATTGTGCCATTATTATTTTTATGTGTGATACTAAGAAAACTTCATTCATGGGTTCATATTGTGCAGAAGCACAGAAAACAAAACTTCATGATGCCATGAGGAAATCTGCTCTCCTTGGGATATACTATGCTCCTCTTAGTGATCATTTGTCTAAAGAAAATTGAAAACCTTCAGTGAGGTTATAAAATATAAAATAAAAAAAAAAAAATTATGAAAGACAAAGACATAGAAACTTACCAAATGCCATAAGAAGAAAGCTTGTCATGGAGTCTGTGCTGTCAGAAGATGATGCTGTCAGGGCGTGAAGAGAGCATTCAGAAGTCATGTTGAGGAATTGTCCCTCTCTGACCATCCAAGTGCCACTCTGGAGTCACACTCACACCACCTGAGCTGGGACCAAGGTCTCTCCCCAGCCACACCCCCACACTCACACAGTCAGACAAGGTTTTCTTAATAGCTTGAACCCAGGTTTCCCCAGATTTTTTGATCCCTAAAATAATTCAATCATGGTGCAATAATAAAATAACAGCTTGAGCTGGGTGCCTCCAAGGAGGGTCCATGAACATGGCTGTTTTGCAGTCTAAACGCAGTAATGTCTGGGGTCCTTGGCTCCTGCTGAGTCTTTGGGTGTCCAGTCACCTGGCTGGACCACTGGTGCCACTTGCTGTGCAAAGGGTCAGCACCAGTTCACAGCCCTTTGCCTTGGGTCCCACCAGCCAGAGCTCAACCTCTAGTTGGCACTGCAGCTTGAAACCAAAGTACCCACAGCAAATGCATTCCTCAACAATCAGGGTGGAACAGTGAAGAAAAATCTGTTTCTTTGCATTTGTGTTCACTGAGAAGAAAATATACTTTCTGTGCTGGAAAGTTTCTTTGTGGGGGTATCTTTGGAGAGTCTATTTCAAGCTGAAATATCAAGAAAATAGATTATGGAGGAAATTGATGGCATGAAGTCAGGACTAAGCATGGCTGCAAAAGTATCCAGGAACTGTTAAGATTACATTAAATAAACCCTTCTCTTTAATTGTAAAGAGAGCTTTAACTTTAGCTTTTCTGCTAAAGCTGCCTTGACATCTAAACTTTGCTAAAAGACAAATTTGGTGCCAACATTTAAAATGGTTACAGAGAGATATGGGGAGATACAGATGAATAAGTCATTAGTAAATGAATGGAAGCTGTAATAAAGATATAGTGGGAAAGATACATAAAATCACTTCTGGAAAGGGAGGTTATGCTTATAGATCTCCCAGAGCTCCACGCAGAAGGTGAAAGCATATGAATGAAGGAAATCTAGTAAGTGTGGTCCATCACAATTACCAAAAGCCTTTCAGTTAATCTAACATAAGACAGAAAAGCTCTTACATGAATGAAAATATTGATAAAAGGGCACTGACAGGAAGGTGGATTTTTTTAATGGGGGCTTTTTTTTTTTACTGGGGAAGTGTGTTCACCAACAGAACCCCATAATGACCATGCTGCTCTATATATTTGACAGAATTAAATAATTCACACTTTAGAAAATATCCAACGTTTGTTTGTTTTTTTTTCTCATAAAGGAAATAATCCAGGGTGTGTAGCCATGAGAACTGGGAATGCAGCTGGATTATGGGATGTTCTTGACTGTGAGACAAAGCAAAAGTATATTTGCAAGCAGTGGGCAAAGAGTGCAACAGTTCCACCTATTCCAACTACTGCTCTGGTCCCCACATGCCCTGAAGGTTGGGTATCAAACAACCATAGAAGTTCCTGTTTTAAAGTAAGTGCCTAAATAGTTAAAAGAAGCAGCTTGGGTGGGGAAAAAAACTAAACAAGAAAAAAAAAATAAAATTAACTGACATCTTCATTTTGCAATATCTGAGACTGGAATAGAGCAAAAAACAAAACCCCCAAATTCTTCTAAGGAAAATATGCATGTGAGGGGAGAAACTAAGGAAGATAAGATTGAAGAGAGGGAAGGGAAGGGCGGGGAAAAGGGCACAGGAAAGAAAATAAGGAAGTTTGTGCTTCAGGGGTTGAAGGAACTGGAGCAGGAAATGGAAGAAGAGGAACATAAATATCAAGGCCCAAAAAAGAAAAGAAAAAGAAAAGAAAGAACCAGGAAATAACTCCATATTAAAAATATTAAAAGGAAAATATCAAAATTCTGTATTAAATTCTGTATTAAATTCTGTATTAAAGCAGAAGCAGCAAAATTGGTTTGTCAGTGCTGTTCTTTATGTCTGTTGTGCAAAGATGTGGTGTTTGCCTGAGAAGTGTGACAATTTGAGAACAGAGAAACAGTGAGGTGTAGCCTACAGCAGCACAATGCCTAATGCTGGTCCTTGTTAAAATCAGCACATTACTCCACAAAAAAAAGGATAAAAAGTCATGCGAAAGGTTAATTAAACCAGTGTTTATGAAGGACATTTACTTGAGAGTATCAGATGCAAAGCTACAGATAACTTGTGTTTGAAGGTTTGAAATACATTCAGCTGTATCTGAGCAGGCATAAAAAAGGAGTTTGAACAAGAAATGTGTGTAATGTGTAAACAGTGATTTGGGATCATGCAAAGTTGAAATGTGCTAAGTGTAAGGTGTTAGTCACTTAAATGGAGTCCTTCTCTTTTTTATTTTTTTTTAAATTTCTTTCAAATTCATCTGGAATGCAATGTATTTGGGCTCCTTTATCCCCAAATCATAATTTTAACTTCTGTCAAATCTGTACTTGTAGTCTTTTAAACCAGTTAGACATCATACTGCAAATGTAAAGTGAGAGTTGTTAATTAACATGAGGTTGTTCTTTTGCCTGAATCTTCACACTCCTCCCAGACTGTTTTGCCTGTCAACCACAGAAACTCTTCTTTCTCTTCATATGGAAGCTGTCTTGGGCCCTTCTTCAGTTAAAACAAATTAAATGGAGCTGGGGAGCTGTATTCCTTTTTCCCTTCTAGCAATTCCTTTTTTTTTACCACTATGCTAAGTAGGCAGGCAGCTCTAATGTAAAAATTCTAGGTAAAGAGTGGGAAATGCTATTTCTCTTACTGACTTTCATACTTGGCTCATGTGAAACCTCATTTATGTTTAAGCAAGACTAGAATTATTTTATTATTGTAACATGTATATAATATGTTTTTAATTAATTTCTCCATAGGGTTTTTGCAGATCAAAAATTAGAAAGAAGTCATGGTTAGAAGCTCGAGATTTTTGCAGACAAATAGGAGGGGATCTGGTCACCATTAACACTAAGGAGGAGATGCCATTACTAATCCAAGCAATGAGGTAGGTATTTGATGTGTATTTATCTTACCAGGTTCAAAACCTTTTCATATGTACTATTATGAATGATCCTAGATGACTTCTAAAATGTATGGCTTCCTCAAAAGCCAAAAGACCTGTGATACTTTGAAATTTATCTATGCAGTACTTTGTTAATCTTTGCATGGAAAAAAACTAGTGATTTGTGTCAAGAAAATTTTTTTTTAAATCTCCACCAGTATCATGCTTACTAGATATAGTTTAGTTTAGAAACACATGAAATTAGCAGTATTTTTACAAGGGTATCTACTGTTGGCGTAGATATGCATCAACCTTTCAGTGGTCAGTGCTGAAACTACTTTTTGAATCTGTGAATGTTTTCTCTGATTGAATAGTACATTAGGGAAATACATGATCAATACTACTAGTAAGTCTGATAACTAAGCTACTGACACTGAACCACAAAAATATTAAAGGTTTCTACAAAGAACATGTGTATGCACTTGACCAAAGGTAATAAGGAAATTTGCAACTTCACTGCTTTTACAATGCACTGTGGAAAGTTCACCTATGTATTTCTAGACTTTTTTTGTGTGATGTTTACTCACTGCTCGGTCCTGTACTTTCTTTTAGAGCCACTCGCTGTATGTTTGAAATAGTTTGGCTGGGTATATTTTCCTTGAATCCAGATGAAGGATTTGCCTGGAGTGATGGCTCTCCAGTGAGTATCGTAATTTTTCATCATATTTGTTTGCTTAAAATACTTTGGGATTTGTACATATAACTTTTTGACTTTTTCCTGTTATCCTCATTAAAGAAACCACAAATCCTACAAACATTCAGCTGCTAATCTGTATAGTCATGACTAATATCACAGCTAAACATTTGAATACATGGAAATTATCTGTATCTTATCAGATTCTGTAGGTTTCTGTGTAACACTTCAATTCATTTTCTCTTCAAAGAAAGACCTAAGTTCAAAACATAAAAAATTCATTATACTATACCATGTATCCTGTCTCTCGTAGTAGCCACAAGCATCTAAAACGCTAATTAAACAGCAATCATGTTTCCCAGTATACTCCTGAATCCCCCAGTAAGTGGTAGCACAGGGTCTTTTAAAACTGAAGCTCAGCTCTGTAATTTTAATTTATTTATTTATGGGAATTTATCCATCATCTCTTGAGCCCATGCAAATATCAACAGGTGTGAAAAATATTCCTGCAGGATTCTACTCCATTTACTACTACACCTTATTCTTTGGATTTCTTTAACACAAGCAAGGATCTTTTATCTTATTCTGTTCACATTACTTTCCACAGAAGTTTCAGAAAGGGACATTATCAAGAATTCTTGATAACAATAGATAGGTTGTATCACATGTGTCTCATTTGGATGTCTTCAGAGGTACCGCCTCTAGATTTGTACAACATGACTTCCTTCTCAAAAGTCACATTCCCATACTAATTAACCACAGGGTAGGGAAAAAGTAATGCTGAATTGATGCACAACATGATCACTGCCACCAGACAGATGTTGGACAGCGTAATTTTGAACCAGGTCAGATGGCAAGACAGCCATGTCTGAACACTGATATCATTGGCCCACTCTAAAATCCTTTTACCTATAGCTTTCCCTATAGTACTTGTAGCGCTTTTTAGCTAAACCCAGAATCTTTGAGGCAAAAGCAATTAGTTTCGATTTTCCAGTGGAAAGTACAGATACAGAAACAGATGTAAGAGTAACAAAGTTGATTTCTTCTATAGGTTAGGTACACAAACTGGGATGATAGTCCAAGGAATTCAGGACGACTCCAGTATTGTGGCTTATTCCATCCTTCAGGATATTCTCACCCATGGTCTCTTTCGGTCTGTCAAGTACAGCATAACTGGGCTTGCCAAATAAAACAAGGTAGATTTTTTCTTTTTTTGGCAAGAAGATTAAAAAACTTTAATAAGTAATTACTTTATAAGTTAAGTTACTGGAGAAAGACACAAAATTTTGAAGAACTACTTTTTCCAAATGGAGGTCAAGAGTATTACATAACATATTACAGGCTGAGATTTTTCAGTTATGAATGATAAGAATGAATTGAAGGGATTTTTACATAAAATAGGGTGTATAAATAATCCATATTACAAGATTACAATTTTTTTTTATATTAAGTAACTTTTGCTTTTATTTTTGTAACGTTGGAATTAAGGAGTTGTAAGGGCTTGTATTGTATTACTTACAATACTGGTTTTTATACTAACACAGGTGAAGCTAAAAATCAAGTATGACATCTTTTTCACATATGTTGGTACTTCAGGTTCTCCTGTAGAATTCAGGATTCAAACGCTTTTGGAAAAGCAATGGTTCATAGCTGTGCTCTTTCTTTTTCTATCCAAACCAGAAATAACTCACAGCCCTTATATGTATCTATATCTATCTATATCTAGGTATATATATATATATATATATATGCACGTACATAAAGTCATATTTCCTTTTGTTTATTAATATTACTCAGAAAGTTTTCTTGATAGAGCTAAAATAAATCTAGTGGAAATTTTCTCCCTCTTGATGGAAATACCCCCAGGTGAATTACGGAATATCTACGTATGGATCAGTAATGGAGCTGTATGTCACAGTTTAAAGTGTTTCAGATAAATCTACTGTGACTTACAGGCCTGAAGAGCAATTTTCCCTTGCCTTGCTCTGTGCAGGAATGTGATTCAGCCAAAGCTATAGCTTTGCTGAAGTGAAGTACCACTTATGATACAAAATTAAAGATGACCTTGCATATTGAGCACTGTGAAGCTGAACTGCATGGCTAAGCCTGCTTGCTGGTCAATGGCAAAGGGGTGAAGGATCCTGATCTGCTCCTCACCCTTGCAGTCAGTCACAAGCTACATCATAACACATTCTAAAGAGATGCCTCATGCCTTCTATTTTCTTTCTTTGCAGGAGTATCATTAAAGCCTGAACCAATTGACACATATGGTAGGTCTTTGTATATATTTATTTTTATTATTAATATTTTTTTTCCTAAAATTGTTATTATAAAAAAAAGCGTTTGTATTCTAGACACATAAAATTTAAGGGTACCTTATTTATCTTCCAGAATATAAAACCACTGCAGATGGATGGGTCATATATGAAGATAAGCTCTACTATATCAGCAAAGAACAGGTCTCCATGGAAAGAGCCCAAGAGTTTTGCAGAAAGAATTCTGCTGACCTAGCTGTTGTTAACAGTAACAGTGAGAGAAGGTTCCTAAAGAGAGCACTAAAAGAAAATGTAAGAACCATTATAAACAGACAGCCTAAAGTAGAAATAATTTTGACAATTTGCTTGTAGAACTTGAGTTGTCCTAGAAGCAGAAACATCAGCATTTTCATTAATGAAATATCCCCAAATGCACCCTTAGATCCTGTGGGATTTGGCCTCCCCTGCTCCACGCCAGCTGCACTGATGCAATTCACAGGAAGAGTGATGTGGGAAGGTACCAACTCTTTTGGAAAGTAGCTGGTCTTTGAGGGAGAATAAAAAAGGAGTACCATTTTCTGATTCAAAATCTGCTTCTTTTCTACTCCATCCTAAAGGCCTTCAGTGCTGCAGGTCTTGGCTCTGGTCCCAGATAAAAGCCTGACTTCTGTGCCTGGGCACATAAACAGGTTGCTGTGGTTAACTGCATGCAGGTGCTTTACTGCTGTGGCCTTCAGTGGCTGCTCTGTGGACCTAATCAATGGTGTAACAATTTCTGCTTGTTTTGCTTCAAATATGTTTTTTTTAAATTGAAGTAGTGTCTTTCTGATTTAGGAGAGCTATTGGAGAGGGTCAATAGGATACTTCATTGGTCTAAGAGTGAGCCTTGATAAAAAGTTCAGGTAAGTTAAGATGATCAGTGCAGCTTCTAACGTGTAGAAACAAATATAATATTTTATGAAGCTGGAGGGGCTGAATATGTTCTCTTGAAGGTCTGAAGGCTGTTCCACATACCGTGTACAGAGCAAAATGGAATAGTCCTAAAGTCCAATAATTTCTCCAAAAAATAAATAGTAAAAGAATCTTTTTTCCTTGAGTAAACACTTAGGCAAAGAAAATCTTGGCAGCTCTACTCTCCATACACACTTTCTCAAGTTTCTTCCAGTGATTTGCCTCATAAAGTGGAGTGATACTTCACTATGCTGAATTTTTTACCTCTAAACATACACATGTACACTTAAAACATGCTCTGTATCATAGGGTTTGGCTTTCTTATGCTTTTTATCTATATATCAGAGGGATTCTCCAGAGTCAGGAAGAATACAGGCAATGAGTACAAAAGGTAGTCTCTGCAAACTCCTATTCCAGGAGAAAATTCAGCAGTAGTTTACAGAAATGAAACAGTAACAAGTATTCTGAAAAGACCAACACACAAATTAACACAAAACTAAGCTAAGAGATACTGAAGAGCATGATACACTGCTTACCTTCCTACCTGCTTGTTAGGATGTGCCTGGGAGGTGAAAAAGAAGTGCTTCTAGCTTGACCTGGAAAAGGTTAGAGGGGATTTTGTACTTTAACCTTTCTGTTTTAATGCCATTGTTCGATGCCATATGTAAATACCTTACCTTGAGAAAGGCAGAAAAGGAGTGGGGAGAGAAGCAGATAGATGATTTTAACCTCCTGATTTAGGAGTCAAATTAGGGACATAGAGCACTCCATGGATCCAGTGAGAATCTCCTTTGTTTAGATCAATAGTATCATCAGCAGCAAGACATAGATGATACAGCTGATTTTTTTCCCACTTCAGGCTTACTTATCTAAATTCTGAATTACTGATTAAAACGTGGTTAAAACATCCTCTTCCTCCAATAGCAATATATTGAAGTAAAAAGCAGGTAAACATAAGCAGGAAAAAGTTTCAACTTTGGTACTTTAGAAAGGATGGTTTTAAAGTCGACATAATGTCTTTTAGTTTAAAGGAAAATAGAACACTCCCCCCTATACCCCCCACAGAGCAGAGTAAATCCAGAGTAAAGTATTTTTATTCTTGTTTACACCTACAAATGCCCCAGGAATTATCAGACTGAAAAGCATAGTATTATCTAGGGTTAAAATAGTTATTGTAATAACTATTAAGATAAAAATAACTATTAAGACAAAATTTTAATATCCTTCTCTGTATTATGATCAACTGATTTTGATTTCTCTTATTAAATGTTTCAAAACAATTGTGGCCATTAACAGAAAATATGCTTGGTGTAATCTTTTTCTAATTTGCAACCAGAAATATTTTACAGAAAGTTCTTCAAATTAGAATAATCAAGGAAAGAAAGGGCAATCTCTAATAGTCCTTTCCATTATAGTCAGTTCCCATGAATTCTCTTAGACACTCTTACTCATGAGGTGTTCATTAAGACTACCATGTCACAAATGAAGGTATTAATTAGTAACTACTCGTATATCTTTTCTTTAAGCTGGGTGGATGGAACTCCAGTAACCTATGTGGCCTGGGCTCCTAATGAACCCAATTTTGCAAATAATGAGGAAAATTGTGTGGTAATGCTTTCAGGGCATGGTAAGTGACAATACAAAACTACTGGATTTTATTTGTCTCTGCTTGGATTATAACTGATGCTGTCAAACCTCTGCTGTCAACTGTCACACAGTCTTTGGTTGCTGTTTTCTGCAATTTCATTCCAGTGACAAACCAGCGCAATGCAGTAACTCTTCCCAGTCATGGGACCACTAGCCATGGAAGAGGCTAAGCCCTTAGAATGGGGAGATTTCCGTACCATGAGTAATTTAAAGCAGATATTTCCTTCTGGGTTTTGTCCTTTTTACAGGGCTTTTCACTACTTCTTTCAGTAAAAATTTGTATAGTCTATCCTCTCTACCATGAACTTAAGAAACCATTTATAGCAGCTCCAGGAAATCAGAGTTGAAGGTACAAGTCAATGAGGAAAGAAACAAACACATCTAATGTGCTAAGATATATTTACAAGTACACTAAAATGCAAATTTCTTGCACATCCTAGAGCTCTATTTCTTCTTGGGTCTATTTCTGTAACTTTAATGAGGCTAATGGGAATTTAGTAAGCACATGTTGATCTCTCAAATATGTTTTACAAATAATTCATGCAATATGTTTGAACACGGTATTGTGTCATTAGATTGACTTAGTATTTCCTACCTCATCCATTTCTTATTAATTTTCTTTTCAAACTTGCTTACTTTTAAATATACTTACTTTCTTTTCAAATTTTTATTTTCCCTGTTGCCTGCAATGTGATGATGCCAGAGCTCAAAAAAAAAAAAAAAAAAAAAAAAAAAAAAAAAAAAAGAAGAAAAACCAAACCCCATAAACAGGTATAAACACTGTGGAGAGAACCCTGAATGAGGAGCAGGTGGGTCAGGGAGCTCAAATTAACTACAAGGGGCTACAGTGCCCCATTAGAGCTTATTTGAAGGTGCCATGGTTACTTTGCCTTCAGATCAAGACGTAGCTGGAAGTAAAAAATAGAGAAAATGGTGTTTATTAAAAAAAGAGTGATAAATTATTATTACTAAATATTAAATACATGTTGAATTGTTATTTTTTTTCCAGGATTGTGGAATGACATTAACTGTGGTTCTGCCAATAACTTTGTATGTGAAAAACATAACAGCTCTGTTAATTCAACATTTCCTTCTCCATTGCCTCCCGGAGGATGTCCACAAAGTTGGATTTTTTTTAACAACAAGGTATGTCAACAAGTATCTTCAGTAAATTGTATAAAGCAGTAGAACTGAAGAGAAAATCCTGAAAACTTCACATTTTTTAAGAATATGAAGTAAATCTGGAGAGTAATTACTTAGACAGAATGTGCAGACTGGATGTCTGGGCTTTTTTTGAGGTGACTTAGACACTTAGCAGAGAAATACAATAAAAGTAGATGTATGCTGAATGCATTTCAGACAGCATAGTTTGTGCAGGCTTAAAATATACAGTAACTGTTTAAGAAAACCTCTCCTATCTTCAAGTACATTATTTTGTTTAGAAATGGAAGTCTGTAATGGTCAGTCTTGTAAAAAAGTTGGAAAGGTTTAGAAAGAATGTATTTGAGTAATCCCTTTGGCCTGTAGGACTTTACAGCTTTGAATTCAGAAAGATGATGTCGAACTACAATTGTTTTGAGTACAACTTTGCATTCAGACACAGTCTGGAAGTCCTCATTGCTGTAAGAGAAGAGTTTATACCAATCTGAGTTGAAGCTCCATCTCCCACTGTGCTGCTATTGTACCCTCAGAATGTTTGGCCAGTGTGCCAAAGGATATTTCACACCCTTTGGCAGGATGAACAGCTGTAACCACAGTCATAAGAAGGAGGAAAAAGAACAGTAGAGATTATTCCCTGCAGCTGTGTCACCCAAAGCCGCATTTTCTTGGTTTCAAATGATGCCTCTATTCCAGCAGGAAGAAGGCAGATGAAAATGTGAGAAGTGATTATGTACTTGACCTCATTATAATCACTTAATTTCATACCAGATTACACCTTGTGCAATGAGGGGAGAAAAGTAGACATCCAGACTTTCTACTCCTGAGCTCTGTCACTCATTCTAGCCCTGTTTTCTTTTTCTGCAGAAAAGTACATCTTAGAGCTAATTATCTAGAGATAATAGTCACATATAATAGTTCCAGTCTTGGCTAATTTGAAAAAAATGCTTGATTTGTTTCCAGTGTTTCAAAGTATTTGCTTCCAATATAACAACCAATCTCACATGGCATGCTGCACGAGATGTTTGCTTCAATTTGGGAGGAAACCTGGCTACTATACCAAATGAACAAGTACAAGGTATGTGTATAGGTTCTATTGAAAGAAAAAAATCTCAGTCTCTCACTAAAGAAACTCTATACTCTCCAATATAAAATATGGGATTACCTGATGAAAATTTCTTATTAGCCAGGTGAGTCCATGGTTAATTTTAACTTCAAACAGCAAGGCAATACCTAAAATTATTACATATAAGAAATAAAGTTAATTTTTAGTTCTTTCAGGTTTCATGAAACTTCCAGTGGGTTCTGAGGATGATTGCACAGATATCTCATACTGACAGAAATCTGTATTTCCTGTCTCTCTCACTGGCAATAGGATTTTCTGAAACCCTATGAGTGCATACACAGTGAGGATGGGATGCTTATCTAAATATTTAATTAACAGCAGATGGGCTGTGTAGGGGAAAGTGTTATCCTTTTATTATGTCCCCCATTCTGGGTTTTTGCATATTTTCTCTCTTTTGGGCAAGTAATGATGAGCTTTCCTTAATGAGAAATCTTTGCTTCTCTCCAGCTTTCCTTTTCTATCATTTGAAATATGCCATAAGTAATGTTTGGATTGGGATGAATGATATCAACAGAGAGTCCACATTTCTTTGGACAGATGGAAGCACTGTTTCCTACACCAACTGGGCTAATGGTGCACCAGAAAATCAGCAAAGCTACTTTGACTTAAATGAGTATGAAACATTGACAGATGATGCTCTGGAGGTACAGGAAATTTACATAACCTCTATCTATACCTTGGGCAGCTAGTTGATTTTCCTAAAAGAAAAGTTACAGCAGCAATAATAGGATGCTGAAACAAGTCCTTTTGTAAACACAATAGGGTTTAGGAAATCATCTGATAATGATTCCAAATATACCCAAATGTCTGGCCAAGTTCTGTAGAAGAGGAATTTTAAGCCTTCCATCAGAACTATTGCAAAAAAACCAGCTCTGTAAAAGAAGCTTGGAGAAACTTCACTTTGTCCCCAAAATGCATTAATGCAAATACTAAAGCTGCAACACCAAAGACAAGGTATGATAAACCAAAATTAAGATTTTTGATGCAAGAATAATTTGGCTGTGTGTATGTCCCACTTCTAGCTGATGTGCTCCCACACTGCTTTACTCATTTCTGGTGGTACAAATTGATATCTTCAGTGAAATTACTCTTTCTCTGCAGAAACTCAGGCTCTTTTCCAAAGGTGGTAATTTCTGAGGAAATGATTGGCAGTTATTCACCCAAGATTTTTAACATCTGCCATCAGTCAATTTTAGCTGATGACTAAAACTTATTTAAATAAGCATAAAGGAGAAACTTCGATTGCATGCCAAAAGACTGCTATGGCGAATCTTGAAATCAGGGGAGTCATGAAAGAAATACTGGAGCAAGTAAACATAAGGAAGTAAAGAGAAAATACTCTGTTGCATTTGATAATGGCAACTTGATAATGACTATAAAAAAAAAAGCAAAGAGTATCTGCCTTCTGCAAAAGAGTTTGCTTCAGTTAGGCTAGTCCAGACTAGAGCTTTTAACAGTAGTTCTTATATTGTTTTTCTCATTGATAAAAATTTTTTGAAACAGGTCTACATAACCGTAAATAAGAACAGACAAGATTTATTATAGGTACCTTAGTCATTTACACAGTCATTATAGGGTTCTTAATAAAACTGGTAAAATGAGTATTAATTTAGTTCTTTCAGACCTTAACTGGCACCAGTGGAAGCCTGGGTCAAATTTAAGGGGTTGCTAAAAAATATCAGGTCAAGCTGCTTGGCAGAAAGCGAGAAAATTTGAACTAATTACGCAGGCATTCAATGAGCTCTTCTCTGACATCATGCCTGCACTAGCAGTGCAGGAGCTTCAGCTCACCCCCTCCCCATGGCCTCTTGTAATGGCTGTGACTCTTCCCCTCCCCTTCAGACAGATTGTGTCTTCATCGTGAAGTCAGATGGCAAATGGAGAGATGATAGTTGTGACAATGAAAGAGGCTACATCTGCCAGATGAATTCAGGTGAGTTCTGTCGACCCAGTCTCCTAAAGAGGAAGAATACCTTGGTCAGATAAGATGAATATATAACCTGATGTGATTTCTTCCAGTTTTGAGTCCCATTCTGAATCTCAAGCTTTCAGAGCTCCATCAGTGTTAAGCTAGTGCCATGTTTAAAGTATAAATTATTTCATAGAAATTGCTGGAGAGGAATCTCCTATTCTTAATTGGGATTTTGTACCTAATCATGAGTAATACTAGAGAATAATAAATGAAAATGGCTTTTTTTTTTCCTCAGTGAAGCATAAGAGGTTTAAGCATCCTGTCTAAGTGCAGTATAAATCATGTTCTTGCAGTGATCTTCCCATTCTCTTGGACAAATCTGAGGAGAGTAATCCTCTCTCACAATTTCTACTGAATGCCATAATATGTGATGTCAATCAAATTGTACAGCTTCTTGGATGTATCTTCATTGTAAAAGATTATGTTTATTTTTTTACACCATTATTTTTTACTCATTATTACAAAATGAGTAATGAATGTTGACTCTACTGTAGATTTTTAATTATACAAATCACAGCTGTCCAAGCATATTATGGGAGTAGAGAAGGTGAAGCACTGATAACAGAACACTTTTGCCTCAGCTTTATTAAAGTAAAAATTATTCCCTGATCCCTCACTTCAGTCAGTTCCTGCAGCCTGTTCCCTCTCAGCATAGCTAACATGCTTGTAAGAAGACCCCCTCCCTGCACAGCAAATATATAGTTTTATGGAGGCATTTTTCATTTTTTTATTCCAGTTCCAGCTCTTCTGAATACATTTACAATCACAAGGGTGGAAATATACATTGCCTAATTCAAATATGCGGGCATCATTCTGGCAACCCTTACAGACGGGCCAAGAAGTTGGAGTGAACAGCGAGTGGTGCTCAATTAAGACCAGGTCTCAAAGTCTTAGGCTGAGACTAGGGATTACAACAGTTAATGCCTTAAATGCCTTGTCCTAAATTCTACCCACCAGTGACCAGAAATAAATGTATACTCAGATATTCAGATTTAGTCAAATAACTTAAAGCACAGAATCTGAAATATGCAAACTTGACTGGACCAGTCAAGTCTGTAGAAAGTGTAATCTACTTCAGGGCATCCATGATTTCACTCATCTTATTACACTAACAAACTTGCTCCATGTCTTGAAAGTTGTGTTTGGCATTTTTTTGGGTTTGGGGGTGTTTTATTTAGTTTGTTTGGTTTTATTTAGGTTTTTGTTGTTGTTTTGTTCATGAGCTTAAAAAAAGATTTTGATTTTTATTGACTTGAGCCTTTTGACCAAATTTTTATAGCTTGAGTGCTACAGAAGAGCAGTATGTTTTAAATTCATCAATTCAGTTTTTCCTCTATAGCTCCCTCACAGCCTGAATTGCCAACAACAAATTCAGCCTCTGGCTTTACTCGTTATGGTGACAGTAGCTATTCAATCATTTCATCTGAAATGCAATGGGAAGAGGCCAGAAAAAATTGCCAAGACAAATCTGCGGAACTTGCCAGCATTTCAGATGCCTACATACATTCATTCTTGTGGATCCAGATGCTGAAATATGGAAAACCCGTATGGATTGGTCTTAACAGCAACATGGTGAGTGCTGGATAGATAGGAGGGGCAGGTGCTGAGAACTTTCCTGCTCTAGTCATCCTCTGGACAACCAGTTTTGAACAATTGTATTCTGAACAATTGTATTCTGAATGGCTTTACTGTGTAAATGCACAAAAATCTAGGGGTATTGTTAGAATTGGTCAAGGATTTTCATCCACCAAACAGAGTGAAGAATCACAGAAAATGTTAGGCAAGAAGCAGAAGATGAAAGTAGAAAGTTCTAGAAACAGTAACAGAAGTCAAGCTGCAGACTGAGAAAGTGCAGCTGTCATGAAGTGACTGTTGGCTATCCTGAAAGTCAAACATACAGGGTGATAATTAGAGCTATTAATATATTAATAGAAGCTTCTGTGAGTATTAGAGAGATATTTTAAGATTTAAGCTGAATGTTTAATGTTTAATGTCAAGTAATCTTTATGCACAAATAGCTCCAAATTTTAATCTAAATAAGGCAGAGCAGAGAGGAGAAATTCTCTGTAATTGCTTCTCTTGATGTAGGACTTGCTAAATGACCTAAGGTGGTCTCATCTGACTTTCTTACCATATTGTAAAAGTTTGTTACTTCAGAAAAACCCTCCCAAAAGCAATGCAGTGTTGAACACTGCTCATATGTAATTCTTGTATAAGTCAAATTGCCCAGTGACATTGCTTAGAACAGTGAATGGGTTTTTTTAAAAATGGCCACTCTTTTTTCCCAAAAAAATCAAATAGACATGATTATATTTACACTATATTACGTGACAGAACTTTTTATGCTAAAAAAAAATCTATTACCAGAATTCCTTTGTTTTTAGACTGGTGACTATTACAAATGGACCAATAACTGGAAAACCAGGTACACAAAATGGGCAGCAGGGGAACCAAAGGAAAACAATGCTTGTGTTTATCTTGATCTTGATGGTACTTGGAAAACAGCATCTTGCAATGAAAGCTACTTTTCAGTTTGCATGATATCAGATGGTAAGCAAATGCATGTAACAATTTTAAAGACACATTCCTAATTCCATGAGTCTGTCTAATCCTAGAGATTTTGCTCTAGCTTGGGCGACCCCTGCAGAGGACTATGTTTCAGGGTAGCATCTAACTCCCAGCAGAATGTGGACATTTGCTATTGGATGATGTATGAATTTAGGCACAGGGAAGGCTCTTGTGCAAATCCATATGGCTGCACTGCTATAATGGTAAAACTGTTTCCATGAGATGAAGCTCTATCTTCAAGGTATATCTTGCTCTTTACAAGACATGCCCATAAATCACATGAGTCTGTGTGTAATATTAGTGTGTGCTGAGTTTGTGCACTGACTGTATGAACTTCAGCTGGGGAAGGTCACGCATGAGCGTACACTGAGCTAAAATACAGCCAAGAGTTTCACTTCCATTCACTGTTGCTAGAGGTAAAACTGTAAGAGCCTTGGCAATGTGAATGTTACTTTTACTCTTTGCAGGTATATGCAAAGGCATGTTTGCATCTAGATTTTGTAGAATCCTGCTGTTTTCCCTCCTTTATGTTTTAAGGCTGTGTATATTTGGTCTGCTTATGCAGTGCAAGATGCATCAAAGTGAATTGGAGTTGCACCCATGATCAGAAACAGTTTGATTTGGCAGAGGCATGCTCCACTGATGGATTTTTTTTCTATAATGTGACAACATGAAGAGACCAAGCAGCCAGAAAACACAGGACTGTGGCATTAATGAATCATTAGCCTAAAACAGCTTTCTGTGTTGTGATAATGCAAATTTGAGATTTGTGTCATCCCTCAGGGTTTGCTTTCTGCCAAGAAAGTACTGCCAAAGCAGTTAGTTAGATGTTGTAGGATGCAGTTTGATACCTTCTCCTGAGAAATGTGATTTGAGAAATAAGATGCTTAACACTTTTGATTGTTTGGCTCTCCCTGCTGTCTGGGTTGGGGGAATGTGGGAATAGTTATGACTGTACGTTGAGACAAATAAAGCCAGGGGAGGGAAATCCCACACAATTTACACGTGTCATAGAAGCAGAGATGACTCACAATGCAATACCAATTTCGTACCATATGGTTTCTTTAGAGATAGCTCCTACTGACCCTGCTGAGCTGCCTGGAGACTGTCCTGAAGGAGATGAACTCCAAGCTTGGATCCCTTACCATGATCACTGCTACTACCTTGAAACATCAGCTGAGAGAACCTGGGCACTGGCCTCCCTTGAGTGCGCTCGCTTAGGTGAGAGCCTTCATTATCAACTAAAAAAATTTGTACCAATGTTTATACAAAATTATCACAAAAAACATAAAGATATTGATTTTTTTTTTTAAAGGGATTTTTTTTTTTTTACCTATTAAGCTGTTCTAAGGCTGGCACAATGAAAATAAGATGACAGAGTCACTTTGTACAGCCTTCTGTCCTCTCCGGTCTACAGCTTCCCTGTGTATGAATTCCCCATTATGTCCTGGCTTGTGGAACACCATACTGGGGGCCACAGCCTCTGAGTACCTCCAGGTCATTGTCTTCTGCAAGAAGCAGTGGAGACACCAACAGAGCAGCATTAATACAGGAGCAGTTGTTTGTAAAGACTGAAAAAAGGAGGTCATTGCAATGGTTACTCATGTAGGTTATGGTTATTTGCCTATTAATGCCTTTCAGGAGCTACCTTGGTTTCAGTAGAAAGCATGGATGAATCTCACTTTCTGACTCATAAAATTCAACCACTTGGAAATAAAGTAGGAGGCTTTTGGATAGGACTTTACCAGAATGTGGAAGGTATGTCTAAATTTCAATTTTTAATAGAAAAATGCATTGCTAATATGAGAAAACTGAGGATTATGGTACTTTTACAAAAAACCCCATGGGTTTCCCCAGAAGAGTGGCTTACTATATATATTAAAAGTAAATTGTTGAGCTAAGGAATTAAAATATTAATGAAATAGATGCGTTTTAATTTTTTTTTACTCTGCGCGTTGCTCTTAGGCCAGTGGTTGTGGCTAGATAATGCCGTCCTGGACTTTGTTAACTGGGAGGAGAAAGAGTTGGATGTGCAGCATCAGTGTGTGGAAATAACTGCACCATCTGGCTATTGGGACAAAAGAGATTGCTCTGCAGAAAAAGGATTTATCTGCAAAAAACCCAAAGGTAAGTCCTCAGTGCGTCAGCCCTCAGTGACAGGACTGATCTGTTCACTAGTAACTGTTATAGCCCTTCACCACAGCTCTGGAAGTAATTTCTGGCAGTTTGGTTTGGCATATCCCATTCTCTAACCTTCTATAGTTGCCTGTTTTTGCAGACTGCAAGCTCTCCAAATCACTGTCTACATGGAAATGCAGCAACATCCTGTACAGCCTAGGTTGAGAATGAAACTTTCAGAAACTTTTGAGTACCTAGCACAGATGTTGATATGGCACCTGTTAAACACCAGTGCAAGGGTATGACTGTTCCAAGAACTGATTATTGTAACAGTTATTATACTCTTGCAAGGAGGAATCAATGTGAATAATCAATCCTCATCTTCCAGCTTGTTATTCTCAAAAAATATATTACTCCCCAACATACCAAACTGGCTTCATATTGGCCTGATTCAGTAATGCCTCAGGGATCCTAAAAGATCACCTGTTTTTATTGCAATAATGAATGATATGAGGAATATTTCCATTCTAAATGAAAACTTCAAGTCAATAGAGAAGCTGTCTCATCAGCATTTCTGGAAAATTTCACTCAATACTGTATATACCAGACTAATGCTTCAGAGATAAAACACTACATTAATTATTCCCAAGTGGAGATGCAAAGGAAATGGTCTGCAAGAAAGCAGTATCATTTTATTCTTGTAACTTAGATGTTAAAAAGTCAATTATCTAACCTAAAAAAATGGTGGGTAGCCATCACTAAACCTTTGTACCTTTTTTTGTAGTAGCTGTGGGATCAGGTTTAATTTTCTAACTTTTGCATTGTGCATTGTTCCCAGTAAATCATGGGTAGCATCTCTATCCTATGCTGATCCTCCAAAAAAAAAGCCATTTTTAAGATTCTATTATTCAGATGAATAGTTGAAAAAATTTTTTTTCAATGCTAAAGACATCTCAAGACATGGTGGGTGGTGAAAAAATAACTGAAAATTTGGGGTTAATATTTAGTAATTTTCCAAATAGTCTTTAATTAGAAAAAGATGCTGAACTGTAACCAAGAAATAGTCATCTCCCATGCACTGTTAATTTCTGTGCTTAAAGCAGCACATGCCCATGGCAGTAAATCAATTAATCATTATTAAAGATTTACTGAAAATGTCCAAAATACATTCCATCCTACCTAGTACTAAAATAATAAGGAATCTCTGAAGTTCATCTGTTGAATCATACAGAGCTCCCATACATGCTATTTCCTGCCTTAGGGGGGGATTACAGTTGTTTTGTATCTATTCATTTTGCATTCTGCTTTGCTTTTGCTTTACATTTTGCCTTTATAAATTCTCCCCTAGGTATCAAGGGTGTTTGCAAACTGTAATGTAGAAGAGTCAAGAAGAAAAATATTTTCATGATAATTCAGAACTCTTTAATTCTATGTGTATAATTTTTCATTTCTGAGTGCCAAACTTTTTTTTTTTTTTGCACTTCTTCAACAGCAACAAAAGAATGTAATAAAGATTTTTAATTTTTCTCAGTGTCTATCGTACACAGAGGTGAATAGGAAGATTACTCATGTGATTCAGTAGGCGTTTTCTCGGGAAGATGTCTAGGAACCAAAGATTTTGTAACATCTAGACATGCAGCTCTTCCCAAAATATGCCATTTAAAACTAATCTCCAGAGTGATACATCATGTTCTTAGGACATCAAAATTAATATTTCAGGAAAAATGTGAAGAGGTATTTTGAATGAACATAGAAAACAGTCAGTATTTTAATGTTGGTAATATAAAAACAGTATAAAGTTTCAAAAGTGAATAAAGTAATGTTAAGTAGGAAGGTGAAAGCTTAGCAATGTATTTTTTGCCTCAATTTGTTGTCTTTTATAGCAGACATATATGTTATTAATGTGATGGTAGAACTTCATTTTTGCTATTTTTGCAAACAGTCAAACATAAGATTCTAATAAAGTGTCATATGATTTCTCTCTGAAATTCATTGAAGTTGACCCCAATGGGAGTCCTATAAAGGAAAAAAGTAAGAGCTTTCGTAAGAAAATTAAGAAAAATCCAAATAGAGGAAGAAGCTAAAATTAGTTTCCCCAAACCACTCTCTTTTAGAGAACAAGTCCTACTGAGGGTTGCACAGTTATCAACCACTTGGAGTGACCCCACGGTGCCTTTCACATGCACAGGAGCACTCACCTGTTTTTGGCCAGTGGTACTGCTGCAGGGCTAGCCCTGAGCTGGCAGGCTCAGCAGTGACCAGAAGAACTTGAGAAGAACTTTGAGAACAGCTACAGAGTGTTTTAACTTGGCTGTTGGAAACTATGTAGATGTATATGAAAGTTTCTTACAAAGATTATATTGTTAATCATGTACCAAAATATTGTAAAACTAATTTCCAATAATTAGCTTCCCACATCCATCTAAAGAATACATTTTCATTACATTCATAAAGCATCCCTTGCATGCATTTTATATTACTGTACTCCAGATCCACTGAATCCACGTTAGCTTTAGGAACAGAGCCTGGCTATTGATTAGCGGCAATTCAGGGCTCAGATTTACAGCCTTCAAGTTCAGGCAGGAGAGAGCATCTTCTTCGTGCTTTTCATGTTGTATGTGGAAATAAAAACTACTATGGTTTCTCACAGTTATATGGATTCATTTCAGGCAAGGAAAAGAATGAGGAGACTCGCTCACCTGTTCATGTCTCTGTTTGGCCACTCATTTTCTTGGCTGTTTTAACTGCTTTTGGAGCTGGCATGGCAGCCTATTTCTACAAAAGAAAAAGACAAAACCAGCTCTCAACAGATTCTGGCAATGAAACACTATTAAGATGATGTCTTGGTGACAGAAGAATTGGTGAGAATGGGTCCTGTGGCATGTCACTTGGAGCAGCAAATTACTCAATGGAATTAAAGGACGTATCTGTTAAAAGTCTGTAGTGAGATCTAGTGTAACCTTACATTAAATATTACACAAATTAAATCACTTTCCTCTTTACCAGTAGCTGATTTTTTTACCATGCATATTTTACAAAATCAGGATTAGAGTTTGATGTTATAATTTTGTAATGGTCAAGATGTTCTCAAGTGCCTTAGCATGGAGGGTCGTGCAAAAAAAATTGCCAAAGACAATTACATGTACTGAAAAAGGACTATGAAAGTCAACTAGTGAGAATGAATGTCGAATAAAGTGCAAATGGAATTTAGAACTGCATTGCTATGACATTGTGGACACTAAAAGTCTCAAAACTTAGAACCTGTCTAAATCTTTTGCAGACTTGAACTTATTTAACCCCACAAACTTCACTGCCTCAGACCAGTACTTTTATTGTTCTTTATGGCTAAATCCTATTACACTTATAAAACTGCTTCATACTATTTTCTCAGAAAACTTTGGGATAGAAAACCTTGTCATGTTCATTTTCTGCTATTAAAAACAAAGTTCATGTCAGTAAGAATATTAAGATCAGGTATAAGTTGTAATCCTTTTTCAATTCAATGATGTGGTTTTTAACTGTATTATGTTCACTTACATGAATGAAAATATTCTTACCCTGACATTCTTGCTTCCTTTTTGTTAATGCTTTAAAATAAATAAATAAATAAATAAATAAATAAATAATTTTTCTATTAGTATAATTTTCAGCTTCAGCATTCCCTGTGAATCAGTTGAGGGAAAGGGGAAGAGGGGGTGCTCCTGTCAGCACAGTAACTCTTTTGTCAATAACAAGACGGACCTCTCTGCTCACCACTTCGAATTCAACTTGAATGAGCACCAACTTCCCATTTTCAAATACAAGAAAAAGGAACTGAAAACTAAGGAATGCAGCAGACGGTTCCGTACTAGAAGAGTACAGTACTGGAAAAGTCTCTCTGCAAGAGACTAAATTTCAGATGTCAGAAAAACAGCAGAAAGCACTACAAGGTAGCTTTTGAGTGAGTTGTAAATACAATTAAGAAACGAAACACTTTATGAGAAAAAGTGCTTAGCAGACATCCTCAGGAAAAAATCTGCCCTCCCCAGGCTGCGTAGAGTCTATTGAGCAAGCTGGAAAGTTGGGAAAAAGATAAAAAAACAAAAGAAACCCCCCAAAAAAAACCAAACTTATGAAGCTGCTTTCCTAAGCACCGAACTCTGGTTTTCTTGGTGCAAAAACAAGCAAGAGTGTAGGATACTGCTGAGAACGTTATTGCAGCCCACAAGATGCTGACCCCAAAAAGTTTGCAACTGGCATGAAGTTGGTTGGTGATGTCAAATGGGGAGCTCTGAAGTACTCAATTCCTCTTTTAGCCTACCCAGTTTTTGCATTAATCTTTCCCCACCACTGTAGCCCTGGATGAATCCTCACAAGCAACCATTTACATGAGAGGGATAAGAAAGCCCTGTTTGAACCAGACCCAGGCTGGTGCTTAGTGAGGAAAATTAGAGAACTGGGCAGGAATTGTTTTCTCCAAGTATCTTCCCTTGAGATTCCCTTTGTCAGAGCAATTTCATTTTGTTATTTTAGATGTATCTGAAATATGATTTCACTCAGGAAAGTCAGCTTCTCTTTGTGCCCCACCACATTGGTGCCTGTAGCACCATTCAGCTCTACGACTTACAGCTACTCTTGCAAGCCAGGCTCATGCTAAGCCCTCCCTCAATGTGACCTGCAAATAAAATAGTTATTATTAAGCAATTCATTCAATTCCTAACTCTGCTGTAATCCAGACCTTTTTTTTTTTCCAAAAATGTTTTTCTCTCCTACTACTTTCTATAGCCAAGTCAACAAGTTTGTCTGGTTCTTGCAATAATTTTCCCCAACACTCTTTCAAAAACAAAAGCAACAATAGTTGCTCCTTCTATGACATCTACTGTTCAGCTTCTATATATATGTCACTACTGTCTTTTTCACTTCCTGATTTTTTCAGTTTTGTTATCACAACTTTTAATTTCACTCATGTAAATCAACAAAAGGAATAGCAGGACTTGTGAACATTTGCAGTAGGGCTTTACAGCCTATTTGTACAAAAACTGCCATGCCAATACAAGTCTTCAGATGAGAACTTTGCTCACAGGTTAAAAGGATCTTTTCCAATTTAGCTTGTCTTTGGCTTTGTCTTGAAACAGCCTCATTAGGAATTTCTCGGACAGAGAAACACATCCTTTTACTTGGTAAAGTTTTAAAGTATTCCAGGCAAAAAGTTTCCTTGCTGTTACAGGAAAGCTTGCCCCTAAACTACAGTGTTGAACATCACTTTCTTCAGGTCTTTGACAAGCAATTATGAAGAACCCAGCCCCAAACTGGGATCAAATAAAGCAGCGTAATCATGCTAAATTTGCCTCAAAGTAAGCAAGAATTCATAATGCACCAAAACCTGCAGTTTCTGCAAACTTTGCTCTCTTTCTTCTACATATATAGTGCTATGACAGTATTGCAATGTATTGAAGTACTGGGATTTTGTCTCTGTTTGTTTCTGAGATGTAAGGGTTAAAACAGAAGGCTTTAATTGATATTTCAGTGCAGGTTTCTTGTCCGCAATTCTCAAATTGCTTTTCTGGGCCTGTCCTGTGTAGCACCCCAACAACTAACCTGAATTAATATTAGCAATGTTGCAGAAGATGACAAATGCCTCCACCTCTACATACAAGGATAGAGACTTCAGTTTTGGAAGGGACTTGCTCCTCAAAGAGAGCAGTTTTTACAGTGTGCACTGCAGTTATTTCAAAATACCATGTGACAGGACATTTCCTTATTTAGAGTACAGAGCTTTATCCATCAACCCGTTGACATAGAGAAGAACCCATTACTATCTGCAGAGAGAAGGATTTTTATATATTGCCAATCTTCTAATCCAAGTTTTGGTAGAAGAATGAGGAACAAGTTACATTTGCCATGAGTTTCTCCAGGTTTCTAGTTTTCCTTTCCCTCATGCAATGCTCACTACAGTCATCAGGTAAGTTTCCTGTTAGTTTTGTATTAAACTAGATATAAAAATGTTTTTCCTTGGGCAGCTTTACAGTTTTAATGCATAGAGTGATAATTTTGTATGTTTTATCAGATTTGATACATGATATAAAGAGTATGTCAGGTACCCTGGCAGCTCTTGATTCACAGAATAAAAGGGGGGGGGGTGTAGGATGGAAAAATTGGGGTAATAAGAAAACAATCTTTAAACTGGAATTTCTTTCTATGGAAATATTAAATCAAATGGCATTGTGTGGGATGGAAGTGAAAGACGAGGGAACATGGACCTCTTTCCATTTACCTTCCTCATCACACCCATGGTGCAGTGATCAGTCAAGGGATATACATATTTACATGATAGTTGTGTGAGTTTCTCTTTCTGCCCCATGACACGAGGTTTGAGAAGGAAAAACTGGCTCCTCCCTTCCAGCCTCAACAAATTAGAAGAACAGTTCTACTCTGAAGATTTTTATCAGTCATTGGGTATAGTTACAGAGAAAAATGGTAAAGCAGTAATGTGTGCAGAACTGAGTGGAGGAACAAGTTTGCATGAATGTGAGACTGAGAGTCTATATCAGAAATTTCACTATGAAAGAACATTCCCATTATACTGTAATAGTTTAAAAATATGAATAATTGCTAACCTTAAAGAATCTGAGTTTAGGATGAATCTGCAAGAGTTCTCCAAGTGGAGAAATGTGCAATTGAAACCTAAAGTTTTCACTGTGCAAATATGTTCATGACAATCTGGTCTGTATTTTCTCTGGTCAGTCACCCTTTTTCTTTCAACAGTTAAGGAATAGGTGAGGTGAAAGAGTGGTTATGGATAGAGTAATCAAGCAAATAAAGCAAATTTACTGAGCTGTGCAGAAAACAAAAATGCAGTGAACTCGCTGTTGTTTCAGTTTTGTAGTTTTTCACTGCTCAGGAAACACAATGTATCATCAACTTTTCATCACAGAATTTGACTTGTCTACAGTGTATATGTATCAAATTCTAACCACAGTATTTAAACTTCTAATTTTACTAAAATATTTTATTTGAAATCTGTAGCTATGCTAGGAAGGAAATTATAATGAAAATAAATTTTAAAAGATTGCATAACTTCTCAATTTAGATAGAAAAATATATAATAGATAGATCCATTTTAGAAATTTAGGTATATGATTTAATTATTATTTTAATGTGCTTTAACAATTTTTTCCCCCTAGTTACTTTTACACTACGAGGAAATGCCAATGGACAGCCTTGTGTATTCCCTTTCAAATACAATGACAAGCAGTACAATGAGTGCACAGATGCTGGCAGGTCAGATGGGCTGCTCTGGTGTGCAACAACTGCAGATTTTGACGCTGATAAACTCTATGGATTTTGCCCACTAATAAGTAAGTTTTACATTTTATTCATTAACTGGTCATGAAATGTGGTTGAGCAGACCATCTCCTGAGCTACCAGGTTTTTTTATGAGCCACCGGCTGCACAGCTGCCTGACTGACCTTGTTAGAGCAGCCCAAATGAAAATCACCTCACTGGACACTAGTCCCGATGGCCAAGAGCTCTTTCTGCTGTGAATGGAGAGCAAGAGGTGCCACCAAAGATTGTTTCAGTCCAGAAAAGTTCTGACTCAAATGCTGGAGGTGACTGATTCCCTCTGTAAACCAGAGGGGTGAAGAGGCTCTTTTATTGGAGTTAAGTGTATGGCATGAATAGAATTATATTAGACATCTATCTTATTATTTATACATTCACCTTCTTTTCAAAAATTCCTATTTCTCTTCATTCCTTAGGCATTCCCTATCGGTCAATTCTCACTTAAACTGTTGTTTTCTAGTTTTTTTCCCTTTAATTTTCTATCTTGTTCTAGTTTCCTATTGCCACCCCATACAAAAATGCTGCTGTGAGAATTATCTTCCTCTCCCTTTGTTTTGTTCTGTCTTCCACGCTGAACTTAAGTTTGGATCCTTCCAGCTGAGGACACAAACATTGGCCTCACCAATGCCCATCCCAATAACACAGCAGTTTCACCAGGTTTTGTGAGTTGCTCTGCAAAGACAGCAGCTGAGCTGAAAATTGGTGTTACACAGAGATCTTCTGTTGTTTGTCAAGCTGTCAAAGGCCACCTTCTGTGTCATTTCTGGAAAAGCTGCTTCTCTTGATGGTGAGCTAAGAGGGAGTTCCTACCCATTACTACCCTGGAGGCATGAAGAGCCTCCAGGCTCACAGTTCACCTACACACTTGCTTTTCTCCTCTGACTTTATCCTGGAATCTCTTTATTTCAATCAATAGATATGTCTGGTTTACCTAGAACTGCATTTGCAGTATGAGAAAATTTAAAAGCAAGTATTGGAAAAAAATTCACTCCTTTCTAAAAATAAAGAAATTTTAAATAATATTTTTAATTTAAAAGAAATATGCAGTTTTCTAATTTGATGCCTAGAATTATTTAATTTTTTTTCTGATGCTTAGCATGCATCTTTAGAGATTTTGCATTATACATTTTATTTTCTTTTAGTTGGTATATGTGAATCCACTAGAACAGTGCTCTATGTCACTTCTTCCAGACGACACAGAAAGATTTTGGACAGAAGAGGCTTCAACTGGCATTAACTATCAGATAAACTCAGAATCAGCTCTAACATGGCACCAAGCAAGGAAAAGCTGTCAGCAGCAAAATGCAGAACTACTAAGCATTGCAGAGACTCAGGAGCAAGCATATGTAGGAGGTAAAAGGATAGAGAACAGACTTTAAAAAACGCTGTGGTGAAGTGGGCTGCCTTGTCGTCTGCCTCAGCCAAGAAAGAGGGCAGGGTGTCAGGGGTGGCTGGGCAGCCACCAAAGGGAGATGGTCTGAGCTGCACTTCCCCTGCCTGGGGGTTTTTATGAAGCATTGGCCACAAGCCTCTTTGGGAACTGAAGTGTCCCCATGTCAGCGTTGTGCTCCTTGGGAGCTCCTGCAGCTCCTGCAGTCGGCCCCAGGGGAAGGGTTTCCTCTGCTCACCTTTGTGCAAGGGCACTCAAACCTGACCAGGGCTATGGGCAGGTCCTCTAATTTACCTTTTCCCACTGTTTTTCAAGGATTATTAATATTTTCAGGAGAACATATGATGATGGTTAGATTTGTCCTAGTATGGGTACATTTGCATACATAAAATCAAAATCACTCCAGTGGATTTCAGGTACAGGTGTCATGGCATCTGTTTGATTATAAATAGTGTAAAGTAAGCTTTGAAAGGATTCCCATAGGAGAAAAAATTGGAAAATAACTTATTGACTTTTTCTTTTACTCCATGAAATCTGTTACAGAAGACTTTTAGCAAAATTCCCTTATGAATATCAGGGCTTTTTTACATGTTTGTGTTCTAATAAAAGCAAGTGAGAAAAATAAAGTAGTATCTAAATAGTGAAATAATATGTTGATTTGCCCTACTAAGATCTGTAGTAAATCAATATAGATTCATTTACAAATTTTACTTTTTGTAATCAGTGCATCTCAGTAATGCAGAAAGCACCAGTTTGGGACTGGTTTAAAATTAGAAATATGAATTTATTACTTTACACTTAATTTCTTTTAGATGATCTTACTATGAATAAGAATAGAGAGATACAACTGAGGGATTTTTCTTTTCTAATTTAGAGCTAACAAAAGAATTTAGTTTTGCCTTCTGGATTGGATTGAATGCTTTGGATTTCAACAGTGGATGGCAATGGGCTGGGGGCAGCCCTTTCAGATATTTAAACTGGGCTCCAGGTATGAGATATATCTATTTTGTAATCTTTGAATTAATTCTGATAAGACACCAACTAATAAAAACTGTCCTACCTAATTTTATTTCTGGAAAGTCTATTCTGATTTACAATAGCTCAAGATCTAGACCCCTATTTTAAGACTAACACTTTCAAATTACAAAGTTCATTGTGGATATCAGTTATAGCATTTTATTCTATTCTCTTATCTAAACAGAGAGCTTGTTTATGAAAGCAGAGTGTCATTTGGAGTGATACATAACCCTACATATCAAAAATCAGAATTTTCCATAACATGTTGTTCACAAGTGTGAATATAAGTCAAATAGTCCAAAGGTAGCAAAATATTTAGCAAATAATGGCTCTGTGTTGTTTGGAGAATTTCTAAACACTATTGAGAAGCTTAGGGAGCCAGTTTATAATTCCTCAACAGTTTATGCAAAATTGCACTGGGCCAGAAGGGAATTGGAGTCGCTTCGTAGTGTTTGTCATACAGGGCAAGTTCTTTTCTTTGCTTTTTGGGTTTTTTTGGTTCTCTGTTTCCTTTATGCCATGAGTATTCCAAACTGTATCCTGATTTGGAAAAGTTTCAAGGTGTCAAAGGAAAAATTAAACTCTCCTCTAAGTTTTCAAGAGCTTTATCAGGAAATTTGCTTTGCTGCTTACAGAGGTTTGTACACACTGCAAAAGAAAAGAAAAAAGCTATTTCATAGGAAAGCAGAACTGTGAAACTCTTGAAATATAGGGAGGATAATATAACTCAAAACTCAATATTCAAAAGTTTGGAAGTTTTAGACACAAGATAAATGTCCACATTCAGCGGTTCTTCCTGGAAGAACCAGAGTGCCAGGCAAAAATTAGACATTTCCCAGTACTATGCTGAGAACAAAGTCAGTGAAGGGTCATTATTTCTCTCTCAGAGTATTGACTAAATGTAGCATCGTATAAACTTCAAGGCAGTTATCCTGTAGTGAGGGGCTTCTTCCTATTAGTGATTCAAGGAGTCATAAAAAGTAGATGTTTCCACTATGTAATATGATGTTTCTGTTAATATTTTTATTAATTCCTTGCTGAGAGATTCTATTTTCTCTTTTACTTAAAGGAAGTCCTTCCCTTCTCCCTGGGAAAATTTGTGGACTGTTGAATCCCAGAAAGAATGCTAAATGGGAAAACCAAGCATGCAATCAGAGACTAGGCTACATTTGTAAAAAAGGATCCTTCCATTCAAAACCTGATATTATGCCCAAAGGTAGGTTAGTCAAATAAAAAGAAAGGTTTTCATGATTTCTAGAAAGAGAAACTTGTTTGCAACATTATTTTTCAATGAAGATATTAGAAACCTTCAAAAAAACACAGCTAGACATGACACACAGATTTTTTCTCCCTTTGTGTATTAAACATTCATAGAAGAATATTATTATTTTGTTCCATCACTCTATCATTCATTCTTGCAAGACAGATTGTAGATGCTCCATCATGGTAGCCAGAGCAAAAAGGCAAATTTGCATAACTATGGTAGAAATATTATTCTCATTTGCTCCAAATGAACAAATGAAAATATGAGCAAATACCTGCAATTACTTGTATATCCATGAAAAAAGTCCCCCTCTGTCTGATGACTGCAGTGCTTTGGTTTCATATGAACAGAGCAGGAGCAGCAACAACACTGACACAGACCTTGTTGCATCTGTGGGGCACCCCAGCTCACCAGCACGGCTGTGAACATGCCCCGTGTGAGAGGGGTCCACTGGAGACTGTCACCTGGGAATTGTAAGGAATGAGTTACACTACAGAAAGCAGACACATAAATTCAGAGAATCATTAATCCAGTAATAACATTAAAAAGAAACACAGGATTCTATTTTTAAAGCAACACCAAGCTATGTTTTTTAAAATGTAAGTTATAAAAATGCCACTGAGAGGATATGCAAAGTCCCCACTAATTTACAAGGTTTACTGACCTGCATTTGTCAAAAAACTGCTTCATGCTTTTACATACCTGAAAAAAATGTTTGTTTGTAAGAAACCAAAGACCAGCAGGCAGAGCCAATGTGAGTCACCACAGTCAGCACAAGATCGAGTGACTCTGGGGGACAAAGAGAGGAGAGGCTGATGTCTGCTTTGTTTTCTCACAGATCATTATTTCAAATTGCAATTCTGAAGTAATGTGGGCATTTTTCAGTGGTTCTCTGTTTAAGGAGAATTCATTCTATTTACATATTTAGCATCCTGTGCCTTAATGATATTTGCTTTTAATTTGAATGTATTTTGTGTTGCCAACTACAGATTTATGTTTATTCATATATTTCCATTTTTGTAAAGAGTACTCAAGAGACCGCATTCTAGTGGCCTCTATTTTCCTCTTGTTCTGAAAAACTGTGTTCTGATTTTAGGGGAATTGAGGTCTGTTCAGTGCACAGATGGCTGGTGGCCGTATGCAGGTCACTGCTACAGCATTCACCGGGACCCCAAAACATGGGAAGATGCTCTGTCATCTTGTAAAAAGCAAGATGGAGATTTGGCAAGCATCCACAACATTGCTGAAAATAGCTTTCTAGTGTCACAGCTTGGTTACAGTGAGTATATATGTAGACCTGTATTGTATTTGCTCCATCTGTGACATAAAAGCTGAACTTCATATTAAGGTTTAATGCTTTCTCTGAAATACCAAAATTGAAAGACTGAATCTGATTTACCATGCTCTTTTATGTTGCTGCTGTTGCATAAAATACAGAACTACAATTATGTTTATCAAGGTATAATCCACACTGTAAAACACTATAAAGGAGGAGAAGAAAAACAAAACAAAGGTATTCTTTCCAGAGACACATAAAGATCTCTAATGATTGCACTTTTGGCAACTAAATTCTATGTACAAGACTTTAGAACTGAGCTACAAACCTAGAAGATAAGCTTCTTACTGAGATTCAAACCTCTGGCTGATGCTAACCTCTTGCTACATATCCCCATAAGAAAACAGTATATTTTCACTTCTGATATTCCTTGGATCTATAGTAACCAGTCCTGACACTGCAGATGCTGTCCTTGGTGAACACAAGTCCTCTCATGTCCTGGCAGGTGTCTCCATGGCTTGGACTCAGTGTGATCTCCTGCGAGGTGGGACACCCACAGCTATTCAATGTCTTCATGCTCAGGACCATTTTGTTGTTCTGAATCACAGAAAGCTTGCAAAGATCTTCTGTCAGCTGTAAAGAACCTTATGTTCATTAAAATCAGCATTTCTGAATAGAATTTGATGGATTTTCCACAACACATTTCTTATAGAGATCTGAGAGGAAACAGCATTTTCATAAAAGCACAAATACCACCTCCTGTGTACTACATGCCAAATGTATCACTCCCTGCTTGTTCTGCATGTGGAAGCATTCACTGCACAGTGGAGAGTAACCAAACCTATTTCTTGTCATGCCTCAGAGCCAACAGAAGAGCTGTGGCTGGGTCTGAACGCCCTGAGGTCTCACTTCTCCTTTGAGTGGAGTGACAGGAGCGCTGTGACATTCACCAAATGGCAGCGCCGGCATCCTGCCTACACCGACGGCCTGGAGCACTGCGTGGCTGTGAAGGGGCAGGTATGGCATGCACTCATCTTACAGCAATGCAACTGCTGGCTGCATCAACCCAAAATCGCTTATGTGCTTATTCATGTAGCATTTCTTATATTATCTTGAAGTAGTTTTGCTCCAAAATTTGGTATCAACCAGAAGACAAGTTCAGAGGTCAGGAGATATCAGAAGAGGGAATATTTTCCTAATACCCCCTTCTGAAATTCCTTGTCTGGTGAAAATTCTGATCCAGAAATTTTCCATTAAATTATTTCCCTTGGTTTCAGCAAAGAAAAAGTTTAAACTCTGGGAGAGGAATAGGAATGAATTAGTTAATACCCTATGTGGATACCATAGGTGCTCTTTGCATACCTCATGTTCCAGTCAGACAATTTTGTCCTTCAGTGTCACATCACCGGGACATGGCATCTAGGCACAGAGACCTGGCACTAGGACGTGTTTCTTCAGCTGTCATCTACCTGCCAAAAAAAAAAAAGTAAAATTCTATAGTATTTCTGACTGCTTGACTCACAAACTTAATTTTCTTGCAAGATGTGATTGTTTGATACATTTACCTTTGATTGTTTGATACATTACATGTGCATGTGCATGCACATGTATGCACACGCAAAAAATGTCATGAATTTGGAAAGAAAAAAATTTAAAATTCTAGTATGAAATGCATGCTGTTATTGAGAGAACTTTTATGTCATAGAATAATGTTAATGTTTGTCAGTATTAGGGACCAAAAGAATTGATCCTAAATCAGATTTTATGGGGGATGAGGGAAAAGTTCTTCTTAAACAGGCTATATTTTTTTAAAGCAATCAGTCGCATTCGGATTCTTTGATGGATAAAATAATTAGATTCACTGAAACCCTAGCAGATGTGCATTAGTTTGGTTTAATTAATCTTTTTTTTTCTGGCAGTGTAGGGAAATAATCCTGCTCCAAGAGCGGATCCTATCAGCCGCAGATGAGATGGATCTTTACAAACCCTTTCATTTAAAAGTTGTGATAAGAAGTAATGTTGAGACTTCAAAATGTTAATTTCCTTCTTTCATCTCAAAACAGAATTAAATTAATCTTAAACTAGTATGCTTAAAGTTGTGTCTATTTGTCTTAATAAATCTTCAGCTCGCCTTGTGAAGAAAGGGAAAAATCACTAGTTTGCTTATGAGTGCCTTTCCTTGACATTTACTCCTTCTCCCTGCTATTCTAGGATGGATACTGGGCAACTGACGTTTGTAATAAGCAGCTTGGTTACATCTGTAAGAAGAAGCCTTCATCGCAATCCTCTGAAAAAGAGACAATTGAGGACCCAGGCTGCCAAAAAGTAAATGCTCTCTCATAAATAATAGTCTTTGAAAAAGTGTACAGGAATCAATTTACTAGTTCTTGCTTCTTTTGGATATTGTCTTTGTATATTATAGAAAATATGTTGAGGCAATCTGGTCTTTTCCTGCTAGCAGTTTACTAATCGATGAGCATTTTCCATTTCTGTTCTGAAAATTTTCAAGAAAGTTGAGATTCATGTACGTGTAAGTGAATAATGCCTTGCCCTCCATTCCCAGATGAGCCACCCTGTGATTCAGAAAAGCATTGTGTCTGTATTGGTCAGCAGAGATCTCTGTAAGAGCAGGAAGAAGTGAGGTTGTTTTACTGATATTCCTCCTTTCTGCTCTCCCTGGAAACATGCATTTCTGGATTCCTCTTGGCTCAGAAAATCTCTTAACTCCTTGTACTTGGGAGTGACAGGGACAGCTTTGGGGGCTGTGCTTGTATGTGAAGTCATTTCTGTATTGCAATATTTCAGTATTTCATTATGTCTGATTGTGCAGTTTTGGAAAGCTGGAGCTGCAGGTCCCCCTGAATAAATCACAGGCTCCTTATAGACTCAGTTTGCATAATCTCAACCTTACAGAGCACTGGAAAACCACAGCAAACAGCAGTCACAATTTTCTTTGCAAAGTCATGTAAGCAAAAAAGAGATGAAAACCGAGATCTTAAGGTCATCCCTTAAACAAAAAAGCCTCCTGGAGGAGTGAACAACATTTAAAAAGTTCTTCTATTTACTAACAGATCAGCCCAGTCTCATCTTAGTTTTAAACTCAACTGCAACAAATTGAACATGTAATATTTATACACACAAGAGCAGAGAAATTCTTACATTGAAGTATCTTTCCATTGCACATTAAAAATCTTATGTTTGTCACAGGGTTGGAAAAGATATGGTTTTCACTGTTACTTGGTGGGTTCTGCGTTTTTGACATTCTCAGAAGCAAATAAGACATGTGAACAGAGCAAAGCTTATCTAGCTACGGTGGAAAGCAGGTGGGAAAATAACTTCTTTAAAAATCAATGCTTTTAATGGAGAAACTTGCAAGAATTTTCCAGTTTTTGAATTCATCAAAGTATTTTATCAGCATTTTCAAAAAATATTATTTTAGCAAGACATGCAAAGATAATCCATGCAGGAAAAATAAACCCAAAGCAAACACCTCAATGTTGTAGGGCTATCTACTTAATTCATTAGAGCAACTTTTAAATTTGGGGGCTTCTTGAACTAAACAGTTTCTTTTTATTTTTCAATTCATAATTAAAGCAACTTCTCGCTTTGGTGGGGTTTTTGGTTTTCTTCTTTGTTGTTTGGTTGGGTTTTTTGATTTGCTGGGATTTTGGAAAGAAGGTTTTACAATTTTCATCTACTTGCTCTCATAGTCTCTCATAATAGGAAAGATTTAATAAAAATATTTTCTTAAACTACTTTCTAAGTCAAATTCTGAACAAATGTAGGAAATGTTCCCCAGAACCTGCCCTCTCCCACAGCCAGAATGTATCATCTCTAATCTACCTACAACCCTGTCAGGCTTCAGAGGTTTCATGGCCCCTGAGGAACTTGACTGCCTTCAGATGGGCAGCAAAGCTGACAGCTTGCTCCTGTCTTGATGGTCTGTTTGAGGCACCTCAAACATTTGGAAAGACAGTGAAAAGAGTAGAATACAACTAGAAGCCCATGGGAGCAGCAATTTGTGATGTTTAAGATGCCTTCAGAAAAAATTCAGAGAAAGTTGTCCTTCATGAAATTCTTTTGACTGCTGTTTAAAGACTAACAGGGTTTTGCCTGGACTTCACTGAGGAGCTGCTGTTTTAGAGTCACGTTAAAACTCCTCTGTTTTTATCACTTAGATTAATATTGCACACTAACAGGCTGTGAATGAACACTGTTTCCCTCTGCAGACATGAGCAAATCTTTCTGATTAGTCTGACGGGGCTGAGGTCTGAAAAATATTTCTGGATTGGTCTCTCTGACACAGAAGAAAAAGGGAGTTTCAGGTGGACCAATGGAGAAACTGCTCATTTCACACACTGGAACACAGCCATGCCAGGTAAGCTCTGCATGGGCTCAACCCCTGCAGCAGGAGTGCAGCTGCAGCTCTCACAGGTTTGTGCTTTCATTCCCCTGGTTAGAAATTAGAGTGGGCACTATGTTTTGTGCCTGTAGCTGTGGGTGGCCAACACCACCAATGTGTCACTGTGTCTGACACCAGTGCCACCAGCACTGGCACAGCTGAGCTGCAGGTGTTGGTGTGAGCCAACCTCCTGCCAAGGTGTGCAGAGACAGATTTTGATGGGTTAGACTGAAGGCAGTACTGTGTAGGAGTTAACAAGGTCCATGGTATAATTATTATTGCCATTTTTAACACCAGACCAGTTAACAACTCATCAGCTTTATAAAAATTATTCTGGATGTTTTTTTGACCCACAATGTGCATAGGTGAGAAGTGAGCAATGAACATGCAGCTGTTTGGCATTTCAGCAATACAGCTTAGCAGCTACCTGTGAGCTCTTGCCTTCACACAGCTAGTTATGCCTTAAGAGAAATCTGCTGTACTTGACATCACCCTTCTTGAAATTGAGTTATCAGGATATTGAGAACTCCAAAGTACTTGTCAGGTCATCTATTACATACGTAAATTTAATCAAGGGCCATTTCTCCCTGATTTCCCTGGGGTGGCAAGATAAGAAAGATTTGTTTTCTGAAGCTGCAAATCTCTGGCTTTGGTAAAGCTGTGTCTGTGGGACTCATCGGTCCATATCTGGCCTCTGGCAGTCGACATTAAAAATAGTTTCATATCCAGGATATTTTTAATATTCATAATCTGCATCTTTCTTTTCATAATTTTCAATTAATAAAAACAAAGGTCTCATTCCTTAGACAGCAATTAAGCCTTTGGTTTCACTCATTTCTTTTCCACATCACAAAGGGAAAGAGCAAGGCTGCGTTGCCATGGGAACAGGAATTGCAGCTGGATTATGGGATGTTGTGAGCTGTGAGAAGACATGGAATTATCTTTGCAAACGGCGGGCAGCAGGAGTGCCCCCTCCTGCTCCAGAACAGGTCCCTGTGGCCGCGTGTGCCGAAGGCTGGGACAGAGCCTCCCGGGCAGACTCGTGCCTCAAAGTAAGTGCGTTCCCACCATGTGCCCACCTGCCCCGGGAGCCCCAGCAGGGGCACACCCGGCACAGTGCCCTGGTACCAAGATGCTGGGGCATTATTTGGGAATGATCTTCTCTTTGGTATTCACGGCAAGAAAACATGGGGGAAAAAAATCCGTCAATGTAAAGAAAGTCAGCAACAGAAAATAATAAACACAGAGTGCTAGAAATACGCTTTCTTTTATCTATATGCCAGGTGAGAACCTCACCTAATTTATTTGCTTCCAGGAGTTTAGAACTTCATAAAAAACATAGTATTACATCTCAAGGGCTGGCAGTATTCTTAACAGAAGTCAATGTTTCTGAGTGAAAATGTGCCCCTCTTACAACCTTTTCTAACACAGCATGTGATACTCATAGCAATACTTTTGGATCTGGATTTAGTTGGTGACACTTTATAGCAAGTAAAACTTTTGATCCTTCTCTTGATTTAGTTACAAGTGCCTTAATAATATCTCCTTTTTGCAAAGGAAAAGAGGAAATAAAAGAAAATATTGATCAAGTAAATAAATATGCAGTATTGTTCTTCCATGTCTTTATGTAAGTCTGCTCTCACTATTCCTGAGACTCTCTGCCTGTTGGGAGACCAGAGCTGATTTTATTACTGTATTTACAAGGGACTGAACTTCTATGTCACATGTAATTATGATTAAATTGGTCCTGCCATTTACCAAATTGTTAATCATCATTTTTATAAAATGTCAAGCACTCAGTCCTGTTAAACATAGCCTTAGTCCAAGAATGTATGTTCCTCATGGCAGAAAGTGTATTTTGTATCTGTATACTTGCACCTCAATACAAAAAACTCTTCCTCAGCTGGTGTCCACACTTGGCCAAACAACATTCTGTATCCATTTTATCTTTTCCAGTCCAACTCACTGACTTACTCTTCCCCTTTCTTTTCTCAAAACTATTCTGCTTTCTTCTGCAAAATGCCATGGTTTAGTTTTTCCATGTTTTTTGAACATTTCAGTGGACAAAGTTCCAATTAAGTTACAGATTAGTTTTTTCCCCTCCTCATTACATTCTGATACCTTTTGTTCTCCTCAAATACCTATACTAATTTTGCCTTATTTTAAAATAGATGATGCTAAGAAAAAAATGTTTACACTTCACATTTTAATGTTTCATATTGGAGGCTTGGACAGGTGTCATGTAGTCTCACTCAAGGATAAAGGCATGCTAAAATGATGCTGATTTTAATTACACATATTTTATAAGCTTCAAAAATGTACTAATTTATTTTTACTTTTTGTTCTCAATAGTTTTTTGTGAGAGAGGGAAACCAAAAGAAGTCTTGGTTTGAAGCTGAAGAATTCTGTAGAGAAATAGGTGGAAACCTGGTCACAATCAATACAAGAGAAGATCAAATTTTATTATGGCAATTAGCTTCGTGAGTACTCGCATAAGGATTCTTTTTCATGTTCCTGCTATGTTAAATAAAAATTACTTAAAACATATCTGGAGCTGAACAAGTGAGTGAATAAAAACAACCAAATTTAAATTACATTGATACAAGATTTTCTTCTGGAAATATCATCCTGTTACATTGCATTAAAAAATAATCTTGAATATTTCAAAGAGGCTTAATATTTTTGTTATTTTCATCACAGGTTATAGCAAGGCCATTTTCCATATCTTATAAATTTCTTACATGTTAATCCCTCTCCCTAAAGGGAGAAAATAAAATAATTCAGCTCTAACTGGCATTTTGTAACTGTCTGCAATTCTTCTTTAATCAACCCATTCAAAAAATCCCTTGAGTTACTGTGCAATATAAACCAAAATTCAAGGACTTAATGTGAAATTTTTCTGACTATAAACTGAAGAATCCTGAAATCAAAGAGTAATTAATTTTAATTGACCTTTGGTAGCATTGTAGATGCTATGTCTTGCTCATGATAAATAAACTGTGACATTATTTTCACCTCAAATTAGACCAATATTCTGATTGTATTCCATAATGTCAAGACATGTCAATGACACATAATATACAGCTTTTTAACCAAAAATGTTTCACACAGTGGAAAATTGAGGTTTACTTTCTGAAACAGATTTAAAACTTTGCTATTGAGAAGTTTTTGTGATCTTACCCTTCTTAAATTTAAATATTTTTCAGTACTGTGGTCACTTGAATGTGGTTTTATTTGTCTGTTAAGCCTCTTTTCTTTAGAGTATAAAATATTTGTGGAAGGAAATTTTTGTATTATGCAGTGACAGAAATAATAATTTTATTTGGTCCATAGGCACAACAAGATAAATAGCATGAAATATTAACTAAATTACTTAGGAAGTGCTAAGAAGCAAATGAAAACTGTTGAAAATCAATTCTCACTATTTTTATTAATTAAATGAACATTTATTTATGCTTTACTTTTGCTAAAGCCTCTGTCTTTGAACTCACACTACAAGCAAGATCTGTGCTATATACACAGGGATGGGAACCTGAACTGGTTCTGGGCCACATCACTTTAACTTTTTTTAAAATATGAGGAATCTTTAAATATGATCGTCACAGAGCACTATCACCTCCCTGACAGAGTGCAGGGAGTGAGCTTGGCTTTGGGCCACAGCTCCCAGTTCAGGTGTGACAGAAAGCAGGATATTTCTGTGCTTTTCAGGATTTATATCCCGGCTTCTCTTTCAATGCCTTTATATCTATATTGTATGAATTATTTTAGGGACAAAGGGCTGAACACTCAGACTTTCTGGATTGGTTTGTTTCTCTTAAATCCTGATGAAGGATTTGCCTGGATTGATGGCTCCCCTGTGAGTATTTATTTGCTGGATATTAATTGACTTTCTGTCTTTTAGAAAATATATACTTTAGAATATATAATGAATAGATGCAGTGCACTGTCTTAACACAGCATTGCCTGCGTTTCATCCCTGGTACCATGTTATATTCCACCTGGACAGTCTGTGCCCTGAGACCTTCCCAGCCTCCCAAAACGGGCACTGCTGTATGGCAGTACAGGGAAGTCCAGTTGCCAACTTTCACAAAAGAAGATAAATGTGACTCCTTCTGCCCATCAGTTTTTCTTTTATCAAGCACATGGTTTTCTATACCATGTAGTCTCTATACCTTCTTCAGGGAGTGGTGGGGAAAGTAACCTGACCAACATGACCTTCACAACCCTCTCAGGTCTGTTTGAACTCCCACTGATCCCATAAAAAAGGTACTTGAGATAATGAGATACTGAAATTGTGTCATGATGGCAATCTCAATTACTTCTATTCAGCTCGAATTACACAGTAATTTATATGTATTTCCAACACAGGTAGTTTATGAGAACTGGGAGGAAAATGAACCCAACAACTATGAAGAACTTGAACATTGTGTTATGTTTAATGGATCACCCCAAATGCGCTGGAACGACTTGCGCTGTGAACATTTACTTAATTGGATTTGTGAAACAAAAAAAGGTATTATTACTTCCCCATTTAATTGGAGCAATAAACCCAAGCTTAAAAAGCAGATTTTATGGATCTAAACAAATTGAAAGGAAGAAAGACATTGGGAATTGTTCGTTTTAAAACCAGTTGCAGTGAAGGCAACACATAAAGCAGGTAGAATGAATTGAAATATTTCTCTTGTTCTTGGGTGCAGGAAGTTAGAATATCCCTATTACTTTATCTCTAGTTTTATCTCTTTCTGGCACGGGTTGAATAAATTTGTGAAGCAAAGGTACTTATCCCCTCTCCTTTTATCTAGTCCCTCTATTTCTATCTGCTTCAGGCTTACCCAGGATATCTGTAGATGCAGGACGCTAGAGTTCTTTTTACAAAAGTGAAGAAAGCTTGCTCCCCACTGTGAAACAATTAATGGGAACCAAGAGAGGGATCAGTTGCTATAGGAACCAGCAACTCTGAAAATGCAATCTGATCTAAAGTGGAGGCTGGTGTAACCTTGATGGACTCCTGCATCTACCAGCTTTGCCTGGAAAGCAGGGCCCCAGTGCCAAAACTCTCCCACCTGGTGCCAGGCTCACAAAATGGACCTGACAGATGTTGGGGTGCCTCTCAGCAGGAAATGGAAATGGGGTCTGCGTGGGCTGAAGAGATCAAGTGACAGTTGACAATGAAAGAACTTGTTTTTCTTACTCAGTCCTCCTTCTACATCCCTGCTTCCTGGTGGTAAACTGAGTATTTGTATGCATCTCCATGGAGAAGGAGACTTCTAAAACCTTCTTGAAATGAAAAGAAAGTTGGATGCACGCAGGGAACTACTAGGAGGCACAATAGGAAGGGGAAGGGATAAGCAGTTACATAAAAACACTGAGTGTATCTAATATTTGATGACTCTGCCAACAAAACCCCTGAAGGGTGAATAAGGCACCATGGTAACATTGAAAAATTGCTTAACCAAAAAGGAAGAATTACTGTTCCCTTTTGGTAAATTAGTCACACAAATGCAACATCCAAGCCTTAATTTCTGCCTACCAGCTCAAAGCAGCACATCCTGTGCAGCCCTTTCTGGCACACTGAGCACACTGCTTTGTGTGGATGCGCCTCTCTGCTCTTGGTGAGATTACTCAGAAGGAGCTCAGAAACCATGACACAAAGACTCTGATCAGTTTATCTTGATCCTAGATGACCTTTCAAAAGCAGGGAAAAAAATCTAGAAATTAATCTTGTAATTTTGAATCTGGATCATGTGATGATCAACATGACAGAAGACATGCTCACATGTGAATTCTCTCACATGCACTTAAGACATCAATTTACAAAAGATATTCCAGCTTTCTGAAAACAATGCATGTTACAGTTATTTGAGGATTAAACAATAAATTAAAATAACCAAAACCATATAAATTAATAATGAAGACATTGAAATAATTTTAGTTCTATTGTTCACTAAATACTTCAGAAAAAATGCTTAAATGATCCCAAAATAATTTTACCCGATTTTTCTTTTTTCTTGTTGTTGTTTATTTCTCATCAGAATATTTCTGACACTTCTATAATACTGTGTTTCTGTCCATCAAACCACAGTAGAAATGTGAGAATTAATAGTCCAGAGGTAGAAAATAACAGGCATTCATATGAAAGCAGAGCTTCATTTGAGAGGCTATAGCTGGCTTTGTGAATACAACTAATTTGCTTCCTCCTGGTTCAGCCTGTAATCAGAAACTTGGGTTTGATATCCATTGGCTCTCCAGGACTCTTAAAAACAGAATGTCCTAGTAAAAGCCAAGTCATCAGGAAAGGAAGAATACATTGACACACTGGAAGCATTACATTTTCAGTACTTGTGGATAGTCTAGTACCATCTAGATAAGCTTTAGAATTTACTATATTGGATTATGTTGTTTGGCTCTAGTCCCAAGAATACAAAAAAAAAAATTAATCATAGAGTATCAAGTGAAAATGTTAAAACAAATTTTCAAAGTAATTTTTGTTTAATCTACCACAAATTTACTATGAAACATGGATTTTTTGATACAGTGTTTTTGGATATACATTACTATAAAGTACATATTTTTCACTAGCTAAATGTTTCTAAATTATACACTTATTTTAATATGGCAGAATGTGCTCTAAATTCTTGAAAATGCAAAATCTGATTCATAGTTTGGTGGGTTTGGTTTTTTTCCCCTCTATTTTCAAAGTATGCGAAACTACTTAAATTAAATCTCTCTGATTTTTTTTTTTTTTTTTTTAATTTGGGATATTGCTTATGAAAATCTTTTTTCTTTCAGGTACATTGATAAAGCCTGAAGCAAACTACAAACTTGGTAGGTTCTTTTTCTTCTTTCACAAAGATTACGGCATAGTTTTCAGACTTTGTACAGACCAGAAAGGAAAACATTATATATGATTCTTTATCTTTCAGACTATCAGCTCACGAAAGATGGATGGATTATATATGAAAATAAGCAGTACTATTTCAGCAAAGAACATGTCCATATGGAAGAAGCTCGGAGGATTTGTCAGAAGAATTTTGCTGATCTTGTTGTCATTGAGAAAGAAAGCAAAAGACGATTTCTGTGGCAATATGTAAGCAGAAAGCCTATTAATTATATATAGTTGAATTTTGAAGCACAGCAGGTGATAAAATACAGGGAACATACTAAATATTTAGTAAGGCTGGAATCCTGAGCTATTGTCCTACATTACTTATTTATAAACCAATAGATTTGTTCAGGACCTGTAAAATTACTATTGTTTTTAATAGATAGAGGAAAATAAAAATAGTAAAGAGGCATGCAAATATTAAAGGTGCAGCAAAGGATAGTTCAGGCCCAGGTTGCTTAGCTTTTCTAATAAATGTAGTGTTCAGCGCAGTTAGTTGCTGATAATTGCTTTTCTGTCCAGTGGATTCCTCACTCCAGGATGTTCCACATATCTCTCTTGCCTGCCTGAAGCCTGAGTCTGAACCAACTATATTCTTCTGTGAGGCCCAAATTAAAAAAAAATAAAAGGAAAAATAAATCACAGGCATGATTAATTGGCTTTCAGATTTTTGCTTGACATTGAAAAGCAAATTAATGCTTAACAATTCATTACTTCTATTTTAGATTTACACAAAACACAGAGGAAAATCATATTTCATCGGCTTAGTTGTCAGCTTTGATCAGAGATTCAGGTGAGTAAAGAAAAACTGGTAATGGACAACAAATGATGGTAATTTCATCTCAGAGAGCATTTCTTTGTGTTTTCATCTTACAAGTTAAAAAATGTACAACTGACTTCTGGATAGTTTTCAGGAAATGTCTCAGACGCAAAGTACTACATTCTTCTATATTTAAGCAGAGAAATGCATTTTCCTTCCAAATTTGGGAGAGCAAACACAACAAAAATTCATGGCTAAGATGCAGCTCACTTAATGCCTTACACTGTGAGAACTGCAACCCTGCATAAGTAGTGAGGAGAAACAGGTAATTTTAAGATGTTATTTACCTGATCTGCTCTTGATCCCTCATCTGCTAAGGATGAGATTGACCCTGACTAGATCTCCAATGACTACAGAGAAAGCCTGGGAAGTTTTGATAAAATATATATGTAAGGGTTAAATAAAATTAATTCCAAGTGGTTCAAGTTATATGAGCTTCAAGCTAGAAGCAGCGTCTACCCCAACATCTTTCTGAAATTTCTGGCAGGAAACCTGTTTTAACAATCCATTTGTAGAAGCCTTTCTGGAGTACACCTTTCTGGGATGTGAAGGATGTCCATCCATGCCTTGAATGTGGTAGTACTAAGCAGAGGAGAAGCAGCAGTAGTGCTGTAGCTATGTCCTCTCCAGGATATGTAGAGCCTTTGCCCTCTGGTCACTGCTGATACCTTGTTCAGCCCCCTGCCCAAAAGCCTTGTGAGTAATGCCTGCTGAGAACGCTGCTGGCAGCAACTGTCCCCTTGTTTCTTCCAGATGGCTGGATGACAGCCCAGTGAACTATGTTGCCTGGGCTCCAAATGAACCCAATTTTGCAAATAATGATGAAAACTGTGTGATAATGTCAGAAGAATTTGGTGAGTAAAATAGCAACAAGAAATATTCGGGTAAAATTTAGCATCAAAATCCAAAATATTTGGTACATACTTAAATTTGGGGCTACCCTACAGAGGGGTAGTTCAACAATACTGACATCTTTTCGTAACACACTCATTAAAAACTGTCCACACTTAGAAAAGAAACATTGCAGAGGAAGAAGGAGTGTATTGGGGTAAATGTGTTTCATTTGTGCTTTATGAATGCCATCTGAGCCTGGCTGCTGTAGTGGTTGTACAGGAGTTTTTTCTGTATTCTGTAATCTCTGAACTATTATCTGTATTCCATTTCTTTACAGGTTTATGGAAAGACATAAACTGTGCTGTGAAAAACGCCTTTATCTGTGAAAGGCACAATTCAACTTACTCAGGATTTGCTCCTACTGTGCTTCCACCTCTGGGAGGATGTCCTGAAACTTGGCTTTTGTTCAACAATAAGGTACAGCAATAAATCCCAGCCATATTTAGGAGATTTGCTCTAGGTGAAGAAAGCAAATATCCCTTTTATCACATTAAAGAAATTCTCTCTCTTTAAACACCAACTTACTAAGAAGTATGCTAATTAGCAGTGCAGCGCATCTTCAGGTTGGAAAATTTGTAACTAAATATAAAAAAACAGGTTATTTGAATGTTTGAAATTATAATTTTTGTAAATGTCTGTGCGCCTTTAGCCATAGCTACTTTTCTAGTTTCTCAATACTTCTGCTTATTTTAGACATACTGCATGAAAATCCCGATCCATTATCCTTATCTGTAAATGTAACACTGTTTTTCTGAGTAACAAAGATGAAAAATTGAAAGGTCACACTTTTCATAAGTAATTGGCCATCACAGCAACTCATCTTAAGCTGAGTAACACAAACAGCAATAAATGTCAAATCAAATATTTGACAATATCAAGCATTGCTTTCTGCTAAGTTAAGCAAAAAAACCTGGACATATGAACTTTAAAAAAAAACCAAAAAACAAACAACAGAGAAAAACCAAAAATCAATTCCACAACGCAATCAATAGGAAAAGTTTTTATGCATTCAGAGAGGGAGGAGCCATATTTTCTGTCCCTCAGAAGATACAAAAAAAATGTTTTACACTGGTATGCAGGGAAAACACCCATTCAGAAGGGCACTTCTTCCTGACACTGTTCCACTTGTGGGAGTTCTCACATGAGTTGAGGTTTTAGCACTCCATCTATGGTATAAAATTGAAAAAAACTTGACCTGAGAAATTATTACCTGCTCCAAATTAGGTTCACAGTCAGGAAATAGTTCCAGTCCCTCAAAAATTCTACTTTTCAGTAATTTAATTCCTCAAAAGCTTTTGGTGGTTTTCTGCTCTTTCCCAGCAGTGATCCCACATGATTGTAAGTGCTCTGCACATATCACAGGGATTGGCTGGGTCTCCTTGCTGGCTGACAGGATTTGTGCTCCAGCAGATCCCCCATCTGCAGCTCTTTACATGCAGGAACTAGCACAGAATTAATACAAACCAATGCTTTTAAAATTCTTTGGCACCCAGAAGTCTGTCTAATCCTTTACTCTCTCCACAGTGCTATAAAATATTTGGATCCAGAGAAGAAGAGAAACTAACTTGGCACTCAGCAAGAAGTGTTTGTAGAGAATTAGGGGGAAATTTGGCCTCTATACACAATAATCAAGTGCAAGGTATGACACCTGAGCCTTACAGCACTATGTATGAAACCACATATTTCACCACCTAATGATGAGGCTGAACCTACCTCCAGACCTAAATAACCTAAATAAAGGAAGACCCGGAGGTGTTTGATCCAGAGGAAGGACTGCAGTGAGATATTCTGACACTTTCCCAGTTTTAGCAAGCATCACCTGTGGAAGGAATAGAATAATCGGTTCCCCATGGTCTTGGGAGATGGGATAAATTGTAATAGTTTATAGTCATGAAATGCTCAGAGATATTCAAGCTAGACATTAAACAGACACCCATCAGAAATTACATATCTGAAGCTGATGCTACCTTGGGAAAGACAATCTTTTTGAGGTAATTTCTGGTCCTGATTTCTATAATATTTCCAAGAAACCTAAATAATTTTTATCAAAAAATGTTTTCCTTTTTTCCCTCCCCTCCTTTTTTTCCCTGAATTCAAACTGCTTCACTTTGATTACCCATTGTAATTTTTTTATTTTACCTTTTACTCACAGCCTAATAATACTGAGGTTGGTATTTCCAATAGATTTAGAAGATGATTTGTTGTTGTTTTATTTGTAATTTCATTTACATGGAATTTGAAGAAAGCAAACTCCTCAGGTACTTTTCATTTTATTTTATTTTTTAAATCTATTTTCTCTCAGCTTTCCTCACCTTCCACCTAAAGGATGTTGCCAATGAAACATGGATTGGGCTGAATGACATCAATAGTGAGCATACCTACCTTTGGACCGATGGAAGCGTTTTTGACTATTCAAATTGGGCCCGAGGATTCCCATTCAGAGATAAATTCACAGTGGTTGACTGGAAGTATATTACAATAGAGGTGAACAGAAATAAATCAGAAATGCATAACATAAATGACATACTAAATGTTTGAGTCACCAGCCTGACTTCTGTCTCAGCTAAGATCTGATCTTTATAGCTTAAAGCACAAGTGAACTGAAACTTCAAAGATCAAATTTTTAAAGCTTTAATCAGAAATTAATAGGCCTGCTTAGAATCTAAGCTTACTCTCATTCCTTTGTCAAAGTCTAGAAATGCAGAAAAAGGAATCTTTACTGCTGGAATTAATTACACTTTTAATAATTATTTTATTTTAGTGAAAATGTTCAGTATTACTAGTTGTGATTTTTATTCTGGTTTATTATTTTTCCTTGTATAATGCAAATGAAACTCCAACAAATTCAGTACAGATTACCATTAATTCCATAGTAAAAATAACTTCAATGCATTCTGAGGAATTTTAATTAACTGACAAAAGTTCTTGCAGCAATTTGCCAATAAAGTACATTTGCTTAAGATATACAATAGAATACATTTAATTTCCAACAAGCAATACATGAAAAGAGCCAGAAAATTAGAAAAGAAGGCTATTAAATTTTTCTCCTCACACGTATTTCTATTATTTTGCTGGAAATTTTGCACTTTATCAGCAACAAGTCTATTTTTCATTTTTTCCCTAGACTGATTGTATTACAATGACAAAAAGATCTGTAGATGATGCAGGATTATGGGAAAATACTGACTGCCAGCATAAAAAAAGCTATATTTGCCAGATGGAGAGTGGTAAGTTTTATTTTTCACCTTTTTTTTGATCGCAAAATATTTACTGAACAATCTGACCATTACAACTCAGAGAAGATGACCTCGCCTACCCTGCAGACATCCACACTGAAATCAGCTCCCTGGCATATAGACACTTTGAAGAACAGGATTCACCTTCTTAATCATAAGAAAAATGTCCAAACCGGTTCCTAGAAGGTGTTGGCCTTCAAAATGGCCGTTTTCTCTATTAAGAGAAAAGTGTATCCATCTGTGGATGGATACACCACAGATATTGGTGCCTGACTGCAGTTAATTTGCAAATACAACACAAAAAGACAAATCCCTTGGTGACCTCCAGCCAGGGGTCAACTGAGGCCGATTAAACGGATTAGTTTGCTCATCAGTCCCTAGAGAGGCCTTCATATCTCAAGAACAGCAATACTCAGAAGGGCAAAAGCTCCAGTTTTCTTTATGAAGCCTTAGGGTGGGAGACACATCCGGAGCACAGCTACACTGCAGAGTCTGCAGGAACAAAAACAGGGAACTGCCGAGCAGCAAGTCAAAATAGAGGAAGAAGCCGCAGCTGGGTCAGATGATTCACAGCTCTGACCCATGCAAGTGCAGAAAGCTGCATGAGGATGGCACTAGCAAAAACAATTGCCAGAGCATCTTCAACAGTGACCGAACAAAAAGTTTGTCTTTTCTTCTGTCCCCATCACTAGGCCCTTGCCTTCTACTTCTGCATACATAATTATAGCTACAAATACAGTTTTCTTTTTCACTTCATCCTATGAGGAAAAGATGTAGCAGCATGGTCATAAAATTTGCTTAGAAAGAAATTATTTTGAGACTGAAGTGGTGTGAAGATCCTGTCGTGTGCTCATGCCTGGGAAAAACTTCACCTGCACTGTGGCAGGGGGACACAGAGAGCTCTGGGGAGAGGATCATGGTGGAACCAGTATTGACATAATTTCATCTGGACAGTCTATGTCTACAGATACACACAGCTCATGCTCTGCCTCTCTCTAATCCCTAAATATGTTTTTACACCGTAGTTTAAAATAATTCCAAATTGCCATTAAAATAAATCTCTTTGTTTTTATGTAAAAAATGCTGTTACTTAATGCTTGGGCTGCCATGCTATATTCATCTGTTACTCAAAAGCAATACTTTTATCCAGCAGCTAGTAATTTTTCAGTGTTTTCTCCTCTTCCTTTCAAATTTGTATCTCTTTCCTACAGAGCCTGAACTGTTTCACCCCACAAGTGCTCCAGATTTCGATTTTGTCCATTATGGCAACAGCAGCTATTTAATCATTCCTTCTAAAATGAATTGGGAAGAAGCAAGAAAAGCATGCAAGGAGAAATCTTCAGAGCTTGCCAGCATTTTTGATTATTACAGTAATATATTCTTGCTGCTGCAGGCAGTGCAGTATGGAGACCCCTTATGGATTGGGCTCAACAGCAATGTGGTAAGATTAAAAAAATAATAGTTGGTAAAGTTAAATGCTGCTACTATTAGCAGGAGAATTGTAGCATGAACAGATTTAGAAACCTAGGACTGGTGGACAGTCTCACATATTTGGACTTAATTGATCTTAAACCATTAAATGCTATTTTAGGCATTAGAGAAGGATGAGAACCTTTGGCCCCACTGGTGTCTCTTTACTAGTGCTGTATGAATCTTGAAAACTTAGGTAAAAATACCTGGTAAACTTTCAGATGGCCATCTTTAGGACAGGTGACCCCTACTAAAAGGCTCCAAGATTTTCAGGAGGGCTAGTGCCTCATGACCATTGGCAGCTGTAGCTTTTCCATTATCTTTTGTTTCAGAAGGTTTCATAGGCCAAGCCACCACACACTTTTGAACACATATTCTTTATTATACCTGCTAGGTCCCAAAAGTTACAATCAGTAAAAGCTATGCTGTATCTGATGTAGTGAATACTGAGATCCAGGTCCACCAATTTGTAAAGGAACAGTCGAGTGATAATCAGCATTATTAGCTCTGTGACTGATTGACAAATTGAGCTTCAGCTTCCCCACTGAATATGCAGTTGCTAAATGCACTTAATTATCATATTTCTGTTTCATTGTTCTTTGATCTGACTAAACCACTTTGATAATAAAAATTAGCTTTTTCATCGGTAATAATCATCTTAACTATTCATTGTTTTTACTAATTGTGATCGACACTGATATATAACATAGCAAAACATGTCTGAAATACAGTATCCCTAGGGACACTTGTAATAAATATTGTGTAAAAATAGAAGTTCCACTTATATGATGCAGCAACAGTCTGATAAAGCCCTCAGAAGGCTGAAAAATTGTCTGAAAAAATGAACTTGTTGCTGAAAAATACATATTTCCACTATTCTAACAATGTCATCCCCACCTCCAACAGAAAAAAATTATCACGTAAATGATGGGTAGTCACCAACCTTAAAATACATCCTTCCACTTGCACAAGTGCACAGGGCATCCCTACCAAAACCAAAATAATAGTGTTTGAGTCTGCTTGATACCAAAGTTGGTTGTTTTTAGTCAAAGCAATATGATTTAAAAAGCAGCTAAAATTCCATTTTGATCAAGCTTGAATCACCAGACATTCCCCTGGTACTTATAAACAAGCCATCCTCGATCGTGCAGAGTCAAGCTTTGTGGATCCTCCTGTTCCCCAGGCAGTGAGTGACCTTGCCCTGTTGATGTCAAGCTCAGTGTGACCTTGTGCACCTGGAGTCTCTCCTGACACAGCTAGACAATGGAGTGAGATCACATCTTATCCCCCTCTTCTTAATGGCAGCAATAAATTTTCAGTGTCTTTTTGCTTTTTCTTGTAATTCTTCTTATTCTTCCTGGAAAAGAAAAAAGGGGAGGAGGAAAAACTAAACAAAGACTCAAGAAGTCCTGTTCAACATATTTCTTTTTTGCTTCTTACAAAGTAATAATGTTCTCTGGTTCTTCATAGTGATGACTGCAGTTTGCTCCTGAATGTTTCTCCTCAAAACTGCTGGAGCTTAGAGTCCTTGCTTAATAGCCAAATCTGAGGCCCATTTCCACCTGAGCTTTCCACAGGTTTCATGTTCTTTAAGTCTTGCTGCTTTTCATGGAGATCTGACTCTTCTGGGATGGTGATTCCACCTTACAACATTGTCTGACAAGGGACTGAGTCCCCAGGGAGCATTATTTAGCCTTCAAAACACCTCCATGGGCTGTTCCAGCATGGGAGCCATACTGCTGTGTCCAGTTTTTATGTTGCTGAGTCCTGATTCAACCAGTATTTTAACAGTGCTAGCACAGATACACAAACTGAGCTGCCTGTATCACGTTAAAAATGTGCTTCTGTATGACTCATTTAGCTAAAACAGCAGATGAGAGTTTAGAAAAGTTATGTCAAATGTCTGTTTCAATTTTAGAATTACGGATATTATAGATGGACCACTAAAAGGAAAGTAAGTTTTTCTAAGTGGGACTATGAAGAGCCAAAACAGAAACTAGCCTGTGTCTATCTAGCACTCTCTGGGAGATGGAAAACAGCACGTTGTAATGAGAAATATTTTCCTGTCTGCAAAAAATCTGAGGGTAAGCAATGGCAATGTCTTTTGTTGGTATGGCAGAAGCCTTGCTTTATCTGCTTTGCCTGAATTACAAATTCAGTATATATCAAAGTATATATCAAAAAATAATAAGTCTGAGTATGTAATGTCAGTATCTGTATTTTGCATGACAATGTTTTATTTTGATGGACTTGGCATTCACCAGCAAAGATCTTGCCATTTTACTGGACTGGAATGATAGCTGCCATGGGAGCAGGCAGACAGATCACAGAGGTTGTGGGAACATCAGGCACTGAGTCTAGAGTGTGAACTGTTTTGCTGACAGAGGTTTTATGGGAAGGTCTGTAATAAATGAATTCCACTGAGTATAAAATAAATTTCATTTCTCCAACATAAACACAATCATTCTTATACTGGTTATTGCTTTATTGATATTAGATTCCAAAAACTGGATATAGGAGGAAGAGTTGTATCTGATGAAAAGGGTCTGTTATTAGCCCCAGAAGAGTTCATATTTCATAGGGTTTGTATGGGTAGTACTGAGGAATACTACACAGTAAAGTACAGGCAAACCTCAGGATGGGACTTGGTTTTTTGCTTTCTCATTTGAATGACATCTGTTAGCTCTAGTGACACACACTTAATGGAAACTCAGACTTTATTTGGGAACTTTTGGGTTTGTTTTTGTTTTGGATTGGGTTGGGCATTTTGTGTGTTTTTAATGGTTGGTTTTTTTTAATTTCTTTGCTGGGCCATTCTCTGAACTTCATAGCTGCTAATTTGCAACTTTTATTTTAAAACCACAAGTACTAAGTGACAATGTTGCCTTTTCATAATGTCAGTGCTAGTAGGAAAATAAGGAGTTACTACATAAATTATCAATGAGCCTCAGATTACTCTATTCTTTGTCAGATATAAAGATGTTCAGAAATTCTATGTAAGGATCGTCTTCTTGAGGAAAATATTAAATGGGAAATTTATATGCTATTTCATTTAAAATAAAACTTATTTGAACTTTCTGAGAGTTTGGGAGTTTCCTGGGTCATTTTTTTCTGCTTTTTAAATGCTTCTTTTATTTATATAAATTTGTTGACTACAACAAAACAAACTAGAACCAAAATTCTTGAACACTCAAATATCCTTGAAACAGACCAAGTTTGATTTAGATAGTAACACAGAAGAGCACAGATTCACACTGAGTCATCCTCTCACAGCTGACCAGTTTTGATCCTTGTTGTCACTCTTGACTTAGACACTGATAATTCTAGCACTGTGTGCCAAAGAATGCTTTAAACACTTTTAAGAAAAAGTTTTAATGTTTGATTTCATATATGAAAAACTGCAATCCTTACTGAATGAAAGCATTTATATATCTCATTACTTCTAGACATACTTCCTTCTGACCCCCCTCAGGATATTGGACAATGTCCTGAATCTGATCACATATCTTGGATTCCTTTCCGAAGCCACTGCTATAACTTCAATGCCAATGAAATTACCTGGGCTCAGTCTGTGACTCAGTGCATTCGATCAGGTAATTAATATTTTTACCCAAATATAGAACTTCAATCTTGACATTAAAAAGAAGTCTTGAAAGAAATCTTGAAAAGTAATAATGCAAAATCTGCAAATATTAAAAATAAGGAATAAATTTCTCATTTATTTTTTACTGTTATGTGCTTTTCAGTTATGTTGATTTTAAGGTGATTTTCTTGTTATATTTTACCAGCTGTGCTTGTTTCTTGTTCTTCATTCACAAAATCTCTGTTTTTAGTAAGATCTTAAATTTTACGTGATTTGAAAAAACTCACTTCTTTCTGGCCTTATCCCTTCTTTTCCATGTCTTTCCCTACACAATAAGCAAAGTAAATATCATAATAACAACCACTCATTTTTAACACTGTCTGTGTGATCCAAAAGCGGTTGATCCAAAAGGGGCTGCATGTGCTGCCTGGTAGCCCCTGCTCTATCAGCAAGGTTCCCTGGCAGGCTGCAGAGCCCAGGGAGGGAAAATGCTTCCCTCCTTCTCCTTGAAGACATCTGTTCCTGGCCAAGACCAGGAGCAGTACCTTGGCACTCTTTCACCTTTGCTGCTGAGTCATCAGCTATCTCATCCATGTCTCAGGAGGTCAGGAAAGAGAAAATAAATTGTTTCATACCTTTTTAGATCCTCTTACCCCTCTTACCACCACTGCCACAAAAATGAATACATTGGTTTGAACTGCAGATTTGTTTGTTTTGCAGTATTGCATGCTACATATTATTCTGTCAAACCCTGAAGAACAAATAAATAAACACTGATAATTTCTATGAACAATAACATCCAGTAACTTGAAAACACAGTGCACCTTGCCTGGTGTTTAAAAGTCATAATCTTCTCTGTGCTTTTGTGTCTTTCACTTCAGATGACATCTCTCACTGTCTGTGCTGTTCCCCCAGAGCTGGACACTACCCTGTGGACTCTATTTAAATTCTTCTTTACTCTCTATCAGTAGGAGAGGTTTTTTTAATTAACCTTAACCCGTCTCAAAAGATGTAACTATGTTGGGGATATCTCCAATCATCTTCCTTTTTTTTTTTTTTTTTTTTTTTTTTTTTTAATAGGTGGTATGTTGACTTCTGTAGAAGATCTGTATGAATCAAACTTTTTAATAGAACATGCAGATTTATATGCAAGCAAGACAAGTGGCTTCTGGATAGGAATATACAGAAATGTAAATGGTAACTATTTTAAATTCTATAAATAATCAAAACCAGACTTCATTAAATGGACAAAAATATTAATAAAATTAATAGATTTTAAGCAACCAATTGAAGTACAGTTGGAGTTCAGATCTGAGTCCTCTCAGAGGTTGTCTCCTATTCCTGGTCTCTGAGAAAGCTTTTTCTGTTGGGGAAAAAAGTCCTGACTGTCTCTCCTCTTCTTTTGGCCGGGGAAGACTCATGTGGGACTTGTGTGAGTCCAGCCCGAGCCCATGGCATAGAGCTCCTCTCTGACTCTATGGAGAAAATTAGGCTGCTTGCTAAAGCATGCAGTAGAAAACATGCATCTGGAAGAGAACACTGATATCAGACTACAAGTAGTCAGAAAATTTTTTATTTTAGATTATTTTCAGCCTACTGAAACATCAAAAGTTTTTTTAGAGTTTATAAAAAAAGTTTTAATTTTTACTAAATGTATGATATAGCACTACAGTAAAAACTGCTTGATTTCCATTGAGTGCTGATGAAATAATAATTTTTTATAAAAATTCTAAATTTCTTTTTTTTCAATTTGAAAATTTAATATCCTAGGCAAACTTACAAAGAAATATAAATTAAAACTGTGATATTATTATGACTGATAAATCTGCAAATCATAATTTGGGAAAGCAATTAAATTGTTTTTTGACAAGAATCAAATGACATAAAATGCATCATAAACAACAGATGGAATTTCTGAAGGAAGTATTGCTTTATAGGCTGAAGAAAGCAATATTATGTCAATATGCACTAAGGTGAAGACCTTTCCTGTGGATCTATTAGTATTGATGCTAACATTTGCCACATCAGGGCAGCTGCTTTGGCAAGACAACAGTGCCTTAGACTTTGTCAACTGGGCTGAGGGGCAGCCCTCGGGGGACGAGCTGAGCTTCTGCGTGGAGCTGTCTGCAGCTACCGGCTGCTGGAGTGTCCTGCCCTGCTCTTCCCAAAAGGGCTTTATTTGTAAGAAACCAAAGAGTAAGTGACTTCTTTCATATTCACTCTTTCCTTTTCTGGCTTTATTTCAGTAGCAATAGCACAATATGAGTGTTGCAAAGGACTGACACAAATGTTTCAATGTTCAGACAAAAATTATACAAATGCATTTTTTTTGTTTGCCCTGTTTATGATTTCTTGCTTCATAACCTGTGATTTTCTTACACTTTATTTTCTTTCATAAGTATTTCCTGAAAAAAACACCCAAATTTCTTTATTTTTTTGTTCCACTCCAACATAAACACATTTATTTTCTACTGACATTCCTATTTTCTTTCTATGGAACAAGAGAGGCATCAATAATTTGCTATTCTTCCTCTTGCTGTACTACGATACATGCTGTTCCAGCAAGAGATGGATGAAGCAATTCTATTTAAATAGGAGTGGAAGTGCAATCCAGAGAGCATATAGTGACCTTTGAAAAGAGTAGAAGTGTTTTGGTTAGCTTTTTTTTTTTTTTTTTAATATTGTATTTCTGTATAACTGAGCACCATCTGCTTTAGTCAGGAAGCAGAAATATCAGAATATCGTGAGCCAAGCAAGCATGTGGTATTTTGGAGTTTAACTGTTAATTCTGCAAAAAAGTCCAATTTCCTGCCCTGTTTCACAACCCCAAAGTTCAGGATGTTTCTGAGGTTCAGTCCTTTCCCCCACCAAAGCAAACCTGAATCTGGTGGGGGAAGCAGCAGTCACAGCATTGTTCAGGGTGTGTTCTAGAAAGAAAAATTCTGCTTTTAGGACAACACCTAGTTTTCCTTGCAGGCAACAGACACTACTGAATGATAGTGCTCTGCTACCAGACGTCAGAAAGCAGAAACTCACTATCACCACACACTTTATGGGATGGGTTTGCCTGTGAGTGGCCCCGATGCGCAGTGCCGGAGTACGGGGGGCATTAATTCCCCGACACCGGCTTCCCCAGCAGAACGGCGTTTCAGCACAGCCGGGGGTTTATTCCATTACTGCCAAAGAGAGAGAGAGAAATTTCACAGCTGCTTCTCCCTCTGCAAACACACCACAGCCCAGTGCATCGCCCTGGTTCTGCTGCAGCAGTCCGGGCTCCCGGCGGCTCCCGGCGGCTCCCGGCGGCTCCCGGCGGCTCCCGGCGGCTCCCGGCGGCTCCCGGCGGCTCCCGGCGGCTCCCGGCGGCTCCCGGCGGCTCCCGGCGGCTCCCGGCTGGGAAAAGCCTTGCAGACGGCGCCCTCTGTGCACAGCCGGGAAAACCCGCGCAAGAAAGCTTGAGTTTATACGCGTGCAAATAAATTATGGTAAATTAAGACCTGCTGGGTCTCAAAAGAGTTGTGTGTGATACAGGAAAGCTCTGCTGTTCTCAACAGTCGATCAAGTTTTCCCAGTCTCCGCAAGAAACAGACCTGGTGGAAAGGGCAAGGTTAATTAATCAGAGAGACGAGTCCTCTCAAAACAGTCAGGAACCATTACCACTTTGGAGATGTTCTGGTTTTTACAAAAGAAGCAAGAAGGGGGGTTTAATATGCAAAACACTATTTTATTGAAGGGAATATGGGGTTAAAAAATCCTTCATGCCTTTTCAGCTCTTCTCATTTAGCAGATGTGTTTCCAGAAGTGATGATGATGTGCAGGTTACCAGACCTTTTGCTAAAATGAAAGTGTCAGGAAGAAAATGTGACCTTTTTAGATTTTGACTAAACATTTGTCTTTATCTTTGACAGCTATTCTTAAAGCAGCTGGAAACGTGGAAGGTAGGATTTTTTTCCCTTCCAATTAATTTCAAAAGTATGTGCTTAAATTTAATATTATTTATTTAGAATATATATATTAATATGAGCTTAATTTACTTAATTGCTATTGAATTTTCTCCCAGCCTCATTTATCAGTACCTGTAAGACCCTTAGGGAAGCCTAAGATAATTAAATGCTTTGGTAAATTGATCACCCCCTCTCTGATTGTCCTTTTGTGACATCCTCTTTTGGTAATATCTATGAGGAAGACTGACACAGAGACATTATAATAGATTTTCCATGTGGTAATTAAGGAATAAATTATAGTTTTCAATAGTCTTATATTTTTTGTGGCTATAGTCCATTCATTTCTATTTACTTTTTATTTATTTACAGATGCCAAAAAGGACAAAGTCAGTGGTCACCTGAATATGTGGATACTACCTACTCTCATCCTCATAATTTTACTGGGGGTGGGCTTCATGATTTATTTCTTGTTCAAGATCAAAACTGGAAGTGGAACTGGAAGAGAGGTGAGGCGGAGCAGCAGTCAGCTGGAATACAGCCGTGCCCTAACTGCAGGGGACAATGGAAGTGGTGCTACCAACAACAAAGAAAAAAATGAACAGAGTGTTGTCTGATGGGACAACAGAGACAAAATAAATGGTTAAGCTGAAAAAAATATAGCTGAACTAAAGGAAACCTTAGTCTCTCTTAGGTGCATGTAACTTGTACTACGAAGTAAAATTCCTTCAGTAAGGATTAGGAACTATTGCTGTATGCTCCTCAATAAATACTCTCAGGTATTTATTGACTTAGTACTGTACAAAATTACTAATTAAGCAAGCAAAGAAAATAACAGAACTAGTGGGAATTTAGATTTAAAAATTATGGGCTGCTTATTTAGGAATTTGTGACAGCATCACATACAGTCAAGACTAACACTGAGCACTCTTTGCAGAGTGCTCAACCTTAATGCCTGCACTTTGAGAGTATCTCACCATACTGTTCTGAAGCCTCCATACTGTTACTTAAGTGATGTTTGGAATAAACAGAGATTTACATTAATTGTTTGTCCCTGTTGCTGCCCTTGTCTTATACCCTTAACACAAATATCTTCCTTGTGATAATATTATAAATGGAATGCAAATACTTGTCCTTCAGTCATGGCTTCAACTTGAATTTTGCAAAACAAATATGTCTTTACATACAGCCTTACTCTATGACTTTGAATGTTTTTTATCAATTATGAACATGAGACTATATGAATAAACAAACTATATATTACATAATAACATTTCAGTTATTTCAATTTGCTTAATTAGCATGTGGAGATGATACGTGGTTTGTTGATCTAATGAGTCTTCTTCCTTAAAAAAGAGGCTGACAGGAGGAGACACAGAAATGTGAACATGGCATATGACTAAAAAAGTCATAAATAAACTATAAAATAAAGTAGTTGCCTAGTAAATTTTGAAATAATGCATTCCTGTTTTTTTTTCTATTTGATCACTCATTTTAGGATAGCTTTGCTTACTATCCTCCACGTCTCTGATAAATGGACTGATAACTGGGCACTGTGTCCATGATTCAGGCCAGTAAAAGAGTGGGGCACGAAACAGTGCCTTGCTAGTGAAATGTTCTAGAAGTTTACTCAGATGTTTAAGTTTTCTAGGAATTCTCTGTTGTCTATGACATTCTGAAGAGAAAAAGCTCTCAAGGATCTCTGTGAATTACAAACCTTTAGAAATTGCATACGAACTGCAGAGGAGATGTTACATGACATTGGATTGACAACTTATAGATAGGGCAATTAAACAAAACATATTGCAAGGGATAAGGAATAAAGACCATTTTTTACTCAAACTACTTTTAATGACAGTCCTCTTGATCTTTCAACTTCTTTTCTTCCCTTCATGTAAGTTAAAAAAATATACTTTTTTTTTTTTTTTTTTTTTTTTTGTAAATACTGAACTGGATTCTGTGCTGTTTGATGGCGACTGACTAAGGCAAAGTAAATGAAAAGACTAAACAGATAAAAAATCCAACATGATATGTTTAAATGTTTTATATTTTATATTGACAACACAGCTCCAAAGACTCTGTATTGTGTGAATGATTTTCTTCTATCTTATTAAGTGATGTTTTACTCTTCCAGAAAAAACTGTTAGATTTGTCTTCATAATAAAGCCAAGAAAAATGAGAGAAAAATTTGAAGGGCAATTTCAGCTGAATTTCTTTCCTCCCTTTTTTTCAAAATTACTAAGGGGGTTGTACATCATACCTGTAGTTCATTTCCACTTAATAAATGACTGAAGATGACTTGTAAAATTTGAAACTATTCCTCTATTCTAGTCTCATTTATGCTTGGTACAAAGAAAGAATAAATTACTTAAGTTTGTTTCTACTTTATGAATTAAATAATTTTGAAAGGCAGTTTTTTTTCCAAAATCACAGAAAGATTTGTAAAGATTTGGCTAATTTGTATTGGTTCTTCTAAGATAAATTCACATGAAATGACAGCACACTAGTTCTACTAGCTGATACACAGGACAGATAAAAGGCAGGTGTATGCATTTCGTAAGTCACTGAGCAAAATTGAATTGTCCTGTGGGGGTTAATTTTTCATACTGAAATAGTCAATATTGCTCACTGCAATAAATTAAATCAACATATCTTTTGCAGCAGTGAAGACCTTTCTCCCTAAGAAATTAGCATATATTTTTCTCTGAGTTTCTTAGGTATATGTCTGACATTTAAGATACATCCATTTAAAGTGCACTCCCTGCTTCTTTGTCTTTGAGGGCCAGTTACAGTTACTTTGAGGGAAAGTTACAATTCCAGCAGAGAACCAAGAAAGTTAAAAACAATTCAGTGGAATGATCTTGAACTGTTCAAACTTTGACACTTGAATTTGAATGGATGGAAATTTCACTTTCAGATGCTAAGTTTGAATTTTGTAATTATTTCTAGATTTCAAAATACCACATGTGACAGGATATTTCCTTATTTAGAGCCCCGAGTTTTCTCTTTCAACTAAAAATCTCCAGAACCAAGAAGGAGCCAGCACCAACTGATTCTTTAAGGACCTCTACTGCAGCAATTAATTTCATCTCATCTCCTTGTGAATAAGAAGACAGAATGAAAAACTTGACCTTTTCTACAATTTTAGTTTTCCTCTCATTTGTTCATACTGCTTTTCAGACACTCGGTGAGTCTATTTTTCACTGTCCCCTGCAAAAGTGGATGTGAAAGTGGGCATATTTGTTGTCTTGCTGGTTTCTCTGGATCTTTAGGATTTTCACATAGATTTACTACTCTACATTTCATATTTCTGCTAATGGGAGTGGTCCACAGATGTTTCCACAAAACAGATACAGAGATGTTGATTTACTTTTAAAGAGAGGGGAATACCCAAAATGGGGTAAAGCTGGGAATCAGAAATCTGGACTGAATCACATATGTAAATAAAGATTGCCTTTTGGGTACAACTTATTTATTTTTGCTAGTATATGTTATGTTTGCTAGTATAAAGTAGATGGACTTCACAGTGTGCTCCATAGTCTTTGTCTATGTCATATAATGTGTGACTGACTAACAAAAAAATGAAAAGAATAAAGTAATTAAATAGGGTGTTGCATGTGTATCTCCTAGCCTTAGCACAAGATTGTGTGGGGTGAGGTGGAACTTGTGGATTGATGTAAGGTGTAGCCATTCTGTGGCTGAGAAGAAGCGAGTGAAAAAAAATTAGAAATATTTGAGAGTCAAGAACAGCTGTGGAATAACTGCTACAGCAGTAAGAATAAAGATGAGAGGGATACTTAAATCTCTGAAGTTGGCCAAAGACAGATCACAGCTCCCTTTTTAAGTAAGTATGATGATAATTTTCAAAGATGTGTTTACTTTATCCTTCAGTTCATGAGATTTGTGGACTGGGGTACATATCACAGCTTCCAAAAGCAGACACTGTTCCATGTGAGCTGTGACAGCACTACCCTGTTCAAAAAGGGGGTCTCCCACCTGCTCTGTGAGCTGGGAACCCAACCCAAAAGCAGAAACCTCACAGTTTCCATCAAGAACTCCTACTATTAGATCAAAAAATTCTGTGAGGGACAATAGCTGGTACTTATGGGACTACACTAAGCACTTATTTACTGAGCAGTAAGAAATTAAAGACTTTATAATATTTAAAACTTTTTGCCTAAATGGACAATGAAAGAAGAAACTAAGTCTCAGCTCCAAATTTAGATTTGCAGAAGTGAAACTCCTATATTACTGAGCTGGTCAAAGTAATACAGGGACCTTCTGGAAGAGCTCAAGAACTATTCTTTCTGTCATACGCTCCCAGAATTTCCCAGAGACCTTCTCCTCTGTTCAATACCCAACACTGGCTTGCCGTAATATCCTAAAATTTTACTTTAGTGTGTGGAGGGGAATCTCACTGCCTCTTGTGAGCTATTCTCTCAGATGGATATGGCAGTGATGCTGCATCTCTGTTTCCAGGCATGAATTTGAGTCACAGAGAGCTGAAGGGCAAAACTTTCCCTCCTGTTCTATAGGTCCTAGAATACTTATTGTAGTCCAAATTTCAATCCCTCATGACCCAAAGCCAGTGAGAGCTGCATGGTACCTGATATTTTTAAGAGCATGCAGCTGTTTGCCCAGGAGGAGTTGCTTTGTGTGTTACAGCAGAGCAGCAGTTTGGGACAGCCCTTCCCAGCAGGGTTTGCTGACCTCAATGGATTAGAGCATCAGGCTGCCTGTGACCCTTTGGGAGTAGTAACTCTTGTGTGGCACTCACAATGCACAGGCATGCAGCCCCACACCTGTAGTATCTACATGCTCTTCAGTATTTGTTCTGGTGACAATGCTTGTGATTGATTGTATGAATTATATTGACTTCTAATGATAGATGTGCTAAGGAAAGGATGCCAGATCAAGGCAAGGTAACAAGTCACTATTACATAGTTTTTAATTCCAAAAAAAAATCTCCAAACCATAACTGAACATGTAAATTCCAGGAGCAATGTCACAGAAGGCTTGCTCACTAACTCTATTAAGCACAAATGCAACCCCATGCAGATGTATGTCACAGGAGATAAATCTATAATGCATGAAAGTGATGGCCAACTTCCAAATTTTCAGTAAAGGTCTCTTCTGGAATTCTTGAATGAAATGTGCATTTCAGAAGAAGATAAAATTCCATTATTATGAAAACATATTTGAAGCTGTCTTAATGTAGTTTTATGTGCTCTTATTCCTCTGTATTTTATTCCCATGTATTTAGTGAATTTACTTTTCGTTCCCAGAATGAACTGTGTCTTGAAAATACCATTTGATCCTTGTAAAAATTTGCAGCCTCCTGACATGAGTTTATTCTATTCTATTCTTCAGCATAGAATAAACAGCACATATTTCTCCTCACAAACTCCCCTTACCATGTGCTCACCCTAATCAGTTATTCTGAATGTTTTGTTTTACAGACAAGGAAGTATTCTTAATATTCAACGAGGATACTAAGTTCTGTTTAATTGCTCAGAGTTCTGAGGCAGTTACAACAGCTGCTTGCAAGAAAAACAGTGACTTACAAAAATTCAGGTGGGTCTCTGATCATCTGTTAATGAGCATGGCATTTGCACAATGCTTGGGAGTGCCCAACAAGAGAAACCAGGCTAAAATTTCTCTGTACCCATGCAACAAGAAAAGTGAATTCCAGAAATGGGAATGCAGAAATGCAGCCTTGGCAATCCAAGGGGAAGATTTATTTCTCAGTGCTGGCAAAAAAAAAGAAAATATTGCGCTGAAAACAGGATCAGAGGCAATGGATAAATGGAAGATCTATGGAACCATGGATAATTTGTGCTCTCAAAGTTACGAAGGTAAAGTTTAAAGGTTATTTTTGTTGGTTTATTGAATCCACTTGTTTGCCATGAGAGATAGGGTCCTTTGATTTCTACCCCCCTTAGCCTAATACCATCTTTTCCCCCTGAGACAATGGTGGACTAGAGAATGATTAGTTCACATGTTCGGGCCTGTATCACTCCATCCTAGACAAAAACAGCTGCTTAGGTTCAGACAGAATGCAGTATGTGAGAAAAATGTGTGTATTTTTTGTTCTCTACTTTTAAAGCAAATGTGGATGTCGGGTTTTTTTTAATTGTTAGTGTTAATCACTCTTCCCAGTGGTGCCTAGCAATAACACAATGGGCAGAAATGAAACACACAAAGTTTTGCTTGAATAAGAGGAAGAACTTCTTTCCCCAAGCACTGGAACACATTTGTCCAGAGATGTGGAGTTTCTCTCACTGGAGATATTCCACAGCCATCTGCACACCATCCTGGGCCATGTGCTCTGGGATGGCCTTGCTTGAGCTGGGAGATTGGACCAGATAACCCTTTGTGATCCCTTCCAACCTGAACCATTCTGTGATCCTGTGACTTTTTAATCAAAGCACTTTATTTAACTGCACACTATTACTACTGAGATTGTATTAGTATTATTGGATGAAAGGGGAAAAAAATCTAAGTTTAATACATCAATATTAAATGTAAGGAAATAATTCCATGCATAATACTTTCAGTTGCTCTAGGAGATTTCAGACACCAAAAAATCCCACAATATTGAACCACATAAAGGGGAAGTTAAGCCAGATGATAAAAAGATAGCATTATTTTTAGAAAATTATATAGTAGGCAAAAATGTATTGTATATATTATATTATTTTATATATATAAAATACATATTTTATGTATTATGCTATATATGCAATAAAAATCACTGCAGCTCTTTCATAGTTGTCTACAGCATGAAACTGCTCAGTCTCTAGCTGGTATAGCTGATTGATAATATTGATAATACCCAGAAG